TAATATTGTCCAACGATTCTGCAAATGCTAAGCTACTAGTCGCTGCAATTTCAATTGTACTCTCGCTCCTTTCAATTGTCAACAAAGTCCAACGATTGTGATGATGGTGGTGATGTTGATGTTGATGATGATGATGATGATGGTGGTGGTGACTACGTATTTGATATTATCATTAACATTAACTATTTGCCCTAAAGATAAGAAACATGTTTTAACGCCCTCTTTAAGGTCCAGGGATTTAATAGTAATGGCCTAGGGAATCGATGACCTTGGACCTTTGTAGTTGCAACGTTGCAATGTATTTGCAATATATTACAATAAATATATAATATTATCATGGTAACGATGATATTATTATAAGATAAGCCCTCCTACTATTAGTGTTATGATTGTAAACAAACAAGAAAAAAGTTTTATGTTTACAAGAAACGAAACAAAAAAGTTTTTGGAAAAATTTATTTAGTTTTTTTTTCCTCCAGCAATTAACTTGATCATCATAACAATCAGATTTATTGTATTTTTTTTTGCTTCTCTGATTAAATCAAATATATTAAGTGCGATTCAATGTTCTATTTATTTTGATCGTTGAAACTTTTTCGTTGGTGATTTAAGAAAGTTTCAAATTGCTGTTGATTTGTTTACTTGTTGTCAACTTTGATCTGAATATTTAATCACCAATGGCAAAGGTTAATCAACCTTGTTGATGATGATGATGATGAGGGAATGGTGATCATCATGAAATTTATCATCTTCATCTTTATCCTTGTTTCAATTTCTCATCATCTCCATGATCATGAACATTTAATAAAATTGTACTTTTCAAATTGTAACCATGAGTTGATTTGGATTCACAATTGATTTCAACAATCAGATGAATTTGAATGAGCAATATGTTGTTAAGGTTGAATAAATTGTTGGAATCGTGATTAGGTGATTTAAATTGTTATCAATGGTTAGAGATTAATATTTTTGTCAATGATTATGATGATTGAATCAATCAATATCATTATTAAATTTAATCCCTACTCAATTGATTTTAATATTTAGTTGATTGTGATTATCAGTTTAAAATAATAATCAACCATTTATTGTGATCAAATTAAGTTCTGGGTGATGATGATACTCATCATCATCATCATCATCATCATCATCAAAGGAGGGTGGTGGTGGTGGTGGTGGTGGGTTAGTTTGAAGGTGGTGATGAACATTTTCCCACCGATATAAAAGTTCATAGAGTGGTGATTGTCCCTTGAGGGGTTAATCATAATCAAGATAATTAACTGAAAGATGATTTAAAGTTAATGTAATACTAATAACAATTTGATTCTTTAATTTTTCTTTGATTACTTTTGTTTGTTTGTTGTTTAATTGCAATGACGATTAACTGTTGTACCTTAATTGCTACTGAAATGATAATGATAACGATAATTATTTCAATTGCAGGAATGATTCACATTCCAATAAGCAATTTAAATGGTAACGTTAATGATTAAATTGTTGAGAGTACATAATATCATTAATTGTGTAACATTGGGGAAGTAATATAAAGAAATGAACAGCAACAGGAAGGATAATCATCAACAATTAGCTTGTTAATTGTTTCCATTGGAATAATTAGAAAATGATTGTTGATTGTGATCAATGATCTACTTGAATTGTTTGTAAGATTATGAGGATTAGGATTAGTTATTAGGAGGGTAATTGTGGAGGTGGAGGGTTGACAAAATTCACTATCTGGTTTCAATGGATTGAAATTGTTTCAGTGAAAGATGATGAGGATGGAGATGAGGATAAACCTCATGTAGATGTTGTTGTTGTTTTTTTTTCATTGTTGGCAGAAATTGAATAAGCACATTAAGTTGTCACATCGCCAGGATGAGGATGAAGATGAGACCTGATTATATTTACATTGAGCTCAGTTCGTTGAAAGTGAATGAGCATCTGATGGAGATGAAGATTGAGACAAAAGATTTTTGTAAAAGTCTTTGCTTAGGTGAGCTCCTTTTGTTTACAGAGGAAACTTTAGTTTTTTTGTATCATCATCATCATCATCATCTCTTCATCATCTTTATCTTCATCATTGAGAACATGGAACATTCCAAAAATATTCTTTTTTACCAAGTTATATATTCGCTTTCTCTCATTCTGCAATTTTTATTCATGAAAATTTCTTTCTGATGCTGATGATGAAGCTTTTCCTTCATCATTGAATCACTTTATGTCTACGGAAGACAAATGATGGAGGAGGAAGAGTAGTTGGTGGTAAAGGATAAGAAAGATTAGGAAGAGAGAGAAATGATGATGATGATGATGATGATGATGATAAGATTTCGAACGAGGGAGAAGAATTTTCTTCTTCTTCTTCTTGACGGATTACCTTTTATTCTGAAGACTTTGGTCTTGTCCCATTTGTGTAATATAATAATAGTATTTCAATTGGAAACAATGTGTTTCTCTAGCAAAAGACAAACGCTTTTGCCAAGTTACGATTAAACTGTCAACTAGATGGAAAGTCCTTTAAATTGCAATCAGTTGATTGCATGTTGATGGAAAAAGTTTAATTAGAAAGCAAAATATATAAAAAGTTTACGATAAAAGATTATCTGTTTGAACTTTTCTTCTTCTTTATCAAGAAGACTGAAAATTCTGATCAATTTTAAGAGTTAATTCAAGCTCTTCATCATGAAGCTTAAACTTGTTTCCATTTTGAATTTATTTCTCTCTCTCCATCGTTCGCTCTTCCTCCTCTTTTACCTCCCTCTTCCCTCATCATCATCATCAACTTGTTGCATTCTTGTCTTCTTTATCATCTTCTTCCTTGTATATTCTTGAAATTCTGTTACCTGGGACAGTGAATAGTAGCTATTGATGACTACTTTCATCTTTCATGCAACAAAGTTTTCCATCATGTTGATTGAATCAAGAATTTCAAATGAGCATGATGATGAAGATGAAAGGGATGATAGTTTCTTTTTTATCATTCTCATTTGCTCCATCATCATCATAATCATCATATCTTTGATATTAATATTGTTGTTGTTGTTGTTTCTGATGATTGATATTAAATGGACAGGATGAAAGGGATGAATGTTGATGATGATGAAGCTGAAGGATGAAAAGGATGATGATGATGATGATGATAAAGACTGACACTGGAGGGTGGTTTGGGGTCTCACGGCTTTTTCTGTACTCATAAGATATTGATAATCAATGAACCTTAGGCCAACGGCACAAATAAAAACACAGTGACTTTTTCATCTTCTTCTTCATCTTTAATCATCATCATCTTCATTTTTTTCTTCTTCTTCTTCTCATTCCTCATCCCCCATGTGCGACTGGAATAACAAGATCGTGCAAGACGAAGATGACGATGATGGAGGGGGAGAAGAAAACGGGAAGATAAAGTAGCCACAGGCTATTTTGGTGAAGATGCATTTTCAGTAGCAGAGTAACAAAAAAAAATCTATCTTTTTGATTGGAATCAAGTTAAGGTTGAAAGAGGAAGGTTAAGATGATGATGATGAAGAAAATGATGATAAGATGATGATGAAGAAAACAAGTTACTAATAAACTCTGTCCTCCTCCTCTTTCTTGCATTTTTCATCATCTCTTACAATTTTACTTTCTTAACTTTTAAAGAGTCTACATCTTACCCTGGGTTAATTGTTACTCTTACCCTGAGGGTGATTGATTTTTGTTTTGCTTGTTTACTGCCGATTCTGTGGATTCGGTTTGATTGTTTTTTTTTTCTTCTTCTTCTTCGTTTTCTCCGATTCTCTCTCTCCCTCAACGTTTCGGCTTTCGAAGGTCAAAAAGTTATTATTATTATTCCCAAATTAACTGATTAGTTTGATGTTCAAATGACGTTACGTTGTGCTAATCACCATTACAAATGATGACCAATTAACTGATCTAATTACAAAATTAAATTGAAAAAAAAACCCATTGAAAAACAAATAGACTAACAAAAAAAAACATGGAAATCAAATTAAACTTTAATCGTTTGATCATCTTTACAATCTAATGATTATGCACTAATTAGATTTGGTTGATTGGCTGATCATGCAAATTGCACAACAATTTTCACCTTTAGGGTCAAAGTTGAAGGTTGAAAGAGAAATAGGAAATGAAGACAATTTTAAAATTGGTATTCACATTTAAATGTCCATAGAAACATCCAAATGAAAAGGATGAGGATGAGAAGGCGGTAGTCGTGGGGGTGGGAATCGAGAGTGGAATGATGATAAAGATGATGATGTAAATGATGAAAAGGAAGATGAAGGTGGGAAAGAATTGGTAAAGACGGAAGAAGGTGAAAGGTCATATGGTAATGACACAATCAAACAATGAAACGATATTGATATTAGCTTAAGTTACTCAATAAGATTTACATTAACGGTCACTATTGGTCATCTTCATCTTCATCTTCATCATTATCATCATAGGTAATATATATTTTCACACACAAAGGTCAATCATCATATACTTTGTAAGGTCATCTTCATTTTCATTTTCATCTTCATCACATATATATATCCGGCCTCACCTGTCAAATAAAAAGGTATATACATGTATATATATAGACGAGGGGAAAGGTCAGCGAGAAAAAAAAGGAAACGGAATAAGAAAACAACTAAATATACAAAGATAATATTGCACAATGACCAATGGTCAGTCTTTATTATGTATTAACCATCATTATCGTCCTAAACTATTAGTTGAAGCAAAAGCCTTTGACCAACAACAAAACTGTCAACACAATTGTCACATAACTATTTATATCTATTGTCAACCCTCGTAACCTTTTACCTTTTTTTAACTTGACCACCAATGGTCACTTGAATCCATTAAAGTCCATTTTGCAAAAAGCTTTATAACAATTACTCAACATTTTATAATAATAATAAAGTAACTTCCTTAATAACATTTAATGCTTTTCAATGGGTCCTAAAAATAAATAATCATCAGCATTCAAACTGGAATCAAAGATGAATCAAGAATTGATTATAATCATTTTTATTCAATTTGTGCTTGACCACCAGCTGATTAACTCTAGTGATAACAATTGATATATATTAAAAAAAGAAAGAGATTCTCATTTTTGTTTTGTTTTCTCTCTTTTATTTTTTCATCTTTTCTTCATCTTTTTTTTTTCTCTGACTTGATCATCATCATCATCACAATTTTCATAATCATCATCATCATCATCATCACCATAATCATCTTGTACTCTTTTTTTTTGTTCATTCAGTTTCTCTATGGCCCATCCAAGGTATTCATTGACTGAGACTTGAATACAATGGGGGTGATGGACTGTGATGATGGACAAGATATATATTATAAACATGACTAAATATAAAGAGAGAGATTTTGATCAAAGATGATAATGATGATGAAGACGATGACGGTGATGACGATGACGACGACGATGAAGATGATAATAATAATAATAATAGTAATAATATGTATATATAATAGTAGTAGTAATAATAATAATGATGCAGGAAGAAAATTTTTTTCCCTAAAAAACGTTTTAAAAGTAACATAAAAGTCTCTGTATATAAGTTATATATGTATATGTATAAGATAAAATGATTTTAAAGCTTGGTATCCTGAAGTTCATTTGATTTTTCTTGACTTGAGTGACCATTACCATTGGTCAGTGTAGATCCATTGGATCCGTTTGAAGTTGCAGTTGAAGTTTTACTTGGCCCATCGTCTAATGCTTGGTTAGAGTAAGTATACAGGTAGGACATTATGGCAAATATAATCATATCACATATCATTAAACCAGCAAAGAAGAAGAATTCGATAGACTGTAAAAAAGAAATTAAGAAAAAGAGAAGAGAGAAGAGAGAGAGAGAAAAAAAAATTAAGATTAATATAGTTAATTAATATGAGGCGTTCCTTTAATTTCCGGAGTAATTAAAAAAGTTAAAGCTAATAATCAACAAGTGGATAAAACCAATAACCGCCTTCGTCCTAGATTATTGATTATGATTATGGCCAAGACATTGTCGTGATTAAAAGTGATTACCACAATGGTTAACCACAACAATCAAGCCACCCTAAGCCTCTCCCCATTTTTAATTACTATTTTTTTTTGTTTATGGCCTCTTTTGTTATCATCATCATAATCATTACATTGTATTAATAATATCTATTAATCAAGAGTCTACTGACCAGTCGCTGTGTTGATGTATAGGTAGGAAATTTAATCCCAATCTAATACAGCAACAAGATTGAAATAATTAACAGACAAAGAAACATCCTCATCTCCATCATCATCATCATCATCATCATCAAAAGTAGTAACAACCATAATAGGTAATCATAAACTGAGTAGGGAAAACAAAAATCAAAAATCTAACGTTAATATCATATACAAATCATAAGACAAAATGATCACGAGAAGCTGATGATAATGATGATGATCATGTTCATGATGATGATGATGAGAGAAAATGCTGATGATGATAATACTTGTGTGTGTGTGTGTGTGTAGTAAAAGAAGTAATAATTACATTTCAATGATTGTTGTTCTTGTAGCTTCCAAGTAACAACATCAACAGGTAAAGAAGAATAAAAATAAAACCCTATGTTTATAGTGTTGTAGTTACCTGTGTTTCGTAGGCGTAGTTGGTACAATAATAATTTTCTAATTCTTTTCTCCTGATTTAGCAACAACATGCATAACATTCCTGATCCTCCTAACTATCGTTTACTTCATCATCACTTTCATCCTCCTCCTCTTTTATGTTTATCTCCCTCATGAGAGAGAAAAGAGAGATTGAGAGAGTAACCTGCATGTATTTACCTGAATATAAAAAAAAACTGATGATTCGCTTTTGTTATTGATGTTACCTGAGATACTGCTGACGGCGGACTTACATCGGCAGCGAAACAACAACAACAACCACCACCATCACAGAAACATATAAATTTGCAGAAGCAACAGCTTACAAAACGACACAACATCATGTTATAATCAAAATTATACCTTTCAGGTAGATGTAAGAAGGAAGAAGATGAGATGATGATGATGATGATGATTCTTGTAATAACAATTACCATTAAAAAAACATATTCAAACCTATACTTAAAATCCATGTTAACAAATTTTTCTCTCTCATTCTCTCTCTCTCTCTCTTTCTTATCATCATCATTATCATGTTCTGATTTTTCTCTCTCATCTTGTAGGAAAAGGGCAACAAAATGATAGAGAGTTATCAGAAGCATCATCATCTATTACAGGTACAAAATATTTTCTTGCAACAACCTTTAATATTATCATTATCATGGACAACTACAAGTCTAAATAACAGTAATTCCGTCTTGAAACATTCCGTTGCCTCCCTTACCACCACCTCCTCCTCCTCCTACTCCCTTCATCTTGTAGTTTTCAGTTATATAAAAACTTTTTCTTTCTCTTATTAAATATTATTTTCTTCATCATCAGCAAGATGATGATAACTGATATTATTAGAAATATATATCATTGAATAAAGTTAATTGAATAATGAACTTACCTGTGCTTCAAATTTAATGTACTTGGTGATTAGAGCAACGAAAAAGTTACCAAAAGAAACGGTAAGTAGCCAAGCTGCTTGGACAACACTTTTCATACTATTTGGAGCCTATTGATTAGAGAGAGAGAAGAAATTTATTAATTGTAATTAATTGTAAACCACCCGTAGTTGTTGAAATTAATGTAAAATGCAAAAGGTAACAGAGAAAAGGTCAAGTTAATGACTGACCTTTAAGGTCGAAAGTGGGGGAGCAAATGGTAAAAGAGATAAAAACAAAGATGATAATGATGATGGTGATTGTTTCTACCTTAGTTTCAAAAAAAGAGAGCAAAGATATTTGGATGATAAGTTGAGGGCGGATGTTAGACTCTCTCTCTCTCTCTCTCTCTCTCTCTCTCTCTCACATATAATATAATTATACCTAATAAGTCAAAAGTAACCATAGGTTTTGCACTGACCCACCCCACCCTCATTGGTCATCATCATTATCATCTAAATATTACCTGTGACCTCTCCCACACAAGGAAAATGAAGCAACACAAAATGCTTACTTTTGCTTGATGACCTTCAATCTTCTGTTTCTCTCTCTCTCTCTCTCACCATCTTCTTCATTATCAACATTATCCTCATCCTTAGATGATGATGATTACAAAGTTATGGTTAAAACTACATTTTCAACTTGCATTTTATTAGACATCTATGTTATTATTTACCAATTATCTGCATTAGACTTTGCAATTTCAAGCAATGAGCACCAATTTCTGTGTGTCAGTAAACTGTATTTTGTACATGTTACTTGCATACCTGACTCTCATCATCATCATAATCGTCAACATCAGGATAATCATCATCATCCCCATAATCAACATAATCTTGTTGCTTTTTTGTTCTGAGTTGAGAAAAAAAAATTGTTCTTAACAAATTGTATCCTTATCAATACCTGTTATTAACTATTTACAAATTCAACTCGAGTTATCAATTAACTTTAATTTCTTGATCAATGGTTAACAATTTACTAACTAACAGTTAAGTTTTCTTTTTCTCCAAAAAAAAGTAAAAGCAAAAACAACAACGACAGTTACCTGAACATGTTGTTTTTACCTTGATTACAACGTTTCCATCGTTATTATTTTAATTGTTACAACTTTTAAAGAGCTGCAATAAGGTAAACGAGAGTGATCATCATCATCATCATTATCATCTTAATTATCGTCATCAAAATTAATCCACTTAAAGATAAACAATTGTTTCTATTTCAGTTGAAATATATATAAAAATTGCTTCTAATTGTCCAACAATGATAATCATCAAACTAAGATAATAACAATATAATCATCATCGTAAATCAATTTTTTAACAATTAACAATCTGAATCATTTTCTTTACAATTCGTGATATTATTTGATAACATTATCAATAAACATCATGAAAGAATATCATCAAAACGATAACAACAGGTATGTACTTTCAGGTAATAATAATAAAGGAAGTACAATAGCAGAAAAAAAATACGATATGAGAATTGAAAATTATTATAACAATCAATGTGAACTATTGTTTTCTACAGGTAAGAAAAGCGAGTATCATGAATATAAGATAACCAGGTAAGGTGGAAAACAATATCAAAATCTCAATGAAAATCATTTGATTGATATTGTTTGTATATGTTCAGTGGCCAAGGTAATATCTCAGGTAAATGGTAGTAGCTGTTTAGTAGCCAGTGATAATAGTAGTTGGTTTAGCTTCTTGATGAGGTAGTTAATTGGAATTAAGAACATTTTTTCTTTTCATATCATCTCCATCATCATCATCTACATCATCTACACCATCATCTTCTTTTCTTTTCTATTCTAAGGTGTGATCAACACTCCTTAGTTTTTTTTCTTCTTCTTCTTCTTCAGTAATGTGTATGTGTGTGTATTCTTGTTGTTGTTTAAATGCCCTCAAGAAATAAAATAAGGAGTAATACAGAAATAAAAGAGAGGAGGAGGAAAGAGAGAAGATGAAAGTAAAGTAAGAGAAACTGATGAGATGAAAATTGTTGCAATAATAATTCAAATAACTAAAAGTTTCAGGGGTAAAAGGTGAGGTTAGCTAACTTCATCTTAATCATTATTATCTTCATCATCATCTTGTATCATAACATATGATGATGTTACAATTGTTACCATTATTATCGTCTATCAATTTACAAATCCCATCCCAAAACCTAATTGTTACTTGTATTTATTATTATATTTCTTGCTACTATTAACTCTAATCATCGTTTTTAAACCTAAGTCAGAATCATAAACATTTTCAATTTATATAGATTATGGTGCGAAGGTGGTGGCCTTAGGGTGCGGAGGTGCATTAGCCATTCCCTTTGAACGGGAAGGGTGGACTAACATTGAAACTCCATCATACCCTCCTCTCCATAAGAACCACCCCCACCCTCCTCTCTCTCTCTCTCTCTCTCTCTCATCTTCTTGCATCAATTTCATCTTCGTTTCAACCTCTCCTTGTTTTTCCGATCCATACAAACAAATAACCTTTTACATGTAAACAATAATTTGATCACTTTAATAATAATCATTACCAATTGATTATACTGGTAACTATTTATTGGTAAGAAAAGATAATTATTATTAATTATAATTGTTGTTGGTACTCAGTTTATAATAATACAGATTATCATTTAGTCTGGTAAGAGTTAATTATTATCAGACAGCAAAAAGATAATTGTAATTACAATTAACTAGAAAAGTTTTAAATTGAACAATTTTATAAACCACAACAACAAATACAAATCAAAAATGCTTAATACCATTCTTGATTGTCAAAGTTAATTGTTAATGTCAGATTGTTGACTGATTTACTGTTTTCCTGAAATTGTATTAATCAAGTTTATATATATATATGTTTGTCTTTTAATTTTTAATTTGGATCAATTATTTAATTAAAAAATTATTTGATTGAAATTAATTAAAGAAGGAAAAAAAGGTAAATATTATATGTATAATATATTGAGTATAATGTTTGAAAAGAAAAAGTTAATTTTTCTTGTTCATCAAATTGCTACTGATTAATAATCAATTGATGATTGTAAATAATACGTAGGCGATATTTTAACAATTAACGTTGTAATCAGTAGTTAAAGTTATTAGGAAATCAAAATTGATTATAAAAGTTTATTAATTTCGACAATCATGATAATCATCAATAATACTGATTAGATGGATAGTCGATGATCAGATTAACGATATCTGGAGGAGTGTTAACAACAATTTAGTTAATCAAAGTGACACTCCTCTTTCTATATACCTGAGACTCAGCATAACCATAATCAGTATTATCATCATTATTATCATCATCATCATCGTCGTCATCATCATCATCATCAATAGCATCCTCCTCCACATAAAAAGTAATCATAAAAGGTAAGACAAAACAAAGATACACTCCTAACAATGGATAATCCAGTTCAATCAATAGCCTGCAACTAATAATTCAGTAAAAGGTTTGGTTAATTATTGAATAACTATTGAATTTAAACTCTCTCATCTCACAATTAACTTAATTAATCATCAGAAGCAATTGATTGTTACAATTAATCTGCAAACCGTAGGAGGATCAATCTAACATGTACTTGCACTATTAAAACTCAATTCAACAATTTAAGCGATGAAATTAAATTGAATTGCAGTCTAGTATTAGAAAATCATTATTACAATGATTTAAGTCTTTATCCATGATGATGGATGATGATGATAATAATAATGACCACAACAATCATCATTTGAGAAATTAATTCAAATTATTCAATAACTTGTGAGAGAATTCACTTTTAGAATTAATAAAAAAAAATGGTGATCATTGCCTTCAGCTAATTGTTACTAATCATTTCTATTAAATGTTACACATTTAATTATATGTATTCAATGATTAACTAACTACTAGAAATTTAAAATTCATCTGATTCTGTGAATCCTTGTAAGAAACACTCCTTTTTTCATCTTGTTCATGTTGATTCTTGACAAATGATTTGACACATTGATGATGTGATTGGATAAGTTAATCATCATCATCAGCATCATTTTTACTCATCATGTATTTATCAAAATTAAAGGCAATCAAATCGTTCTGGTAAATTAAATTATGCTAATATCAAATATAATGACAATTAAAAATCATCAAGGTCTTTGTGAGCAGGTTTAATAATTAACAAGTTAATGAAAGTGTTTGATTAATTAAATTGTAACAATTTCAACTGTTGATGTTTTAACTTTGTTCTTGATCAGTGTTAGTCGACAATGAATCAATTGCAATCCTACTGTGAATTGCAATTAAAATGTACATTATTTTAAGACTTGGATTAATCAACACAAATCCAATAATCAGTTAAGTGAATTAATTCCCAGAATCAAGGGTAAAAATCAATTTTAAAGGTAAAAAGCTAAAGATATGTGTAAATGATGATGATAATGATGTTGATTAAAGGTAAGATTTAGATGAAGTTTAAGATGAGGATGATGAAAAATCTCATTATGACTGTTGGAGAGAAAGAGAGAGAATCATCTTTCTATCTTCTTCTTCACTCAATGGAAAAATATATTTATCATGATTGGTGATAAGGAATTAACACAATTAACAGACTAAATCACAGTGAGAATCATCAGTGGATTTCCAATAATCGAAGAGGAGATTAAAGATGATAGAGGGAAATGTGCTAAGGCAAACTAAGTTAATCCAGTAAACCTTACAAACACACCGGTAAACTTTACTTGTTTAGGCTACTGATGAAGATGAAGATGCTGCTGGTGATCATCATTATCATCATCATGATAGTGATATTTTTCCTGGTCCCTAGATTATCTCTCTCTCTCTCTCTCTCTCTCTCTTGGCTCTTCTTATAGCCTCCCTCTCTTTCTCTTTCTTTATTCATTTCTCATCATCTTTCTTCTCTTTTCTATCTTCTTTTGAATTCCTGGAATGATAGATTGAATGTTGACGTACTGTGATGGATGAAAGATGACTTCAAAGATGGCTAAGATATGATACCTTCAGGTAAGAGGGACGATTAAATGAGGAAAAGAAAGAGAAGAGAGGAAGATGGAGATGGAGATGGGGGAGGGGAGGGTGAAAGAGAGACCCGGGAAGAGAGAGAGAGAGAGATAAAGATGAGCTAAGACGAAGAGAAATGACAGTTTACTAGTTACCTGTAAAAATTGCAACAATCTTCTTCTTCTTCTCCATCATCTTCTTCATCATCATTATTCTTTCTCCCTCTTCTTCTCTCCCATCTCTCTTTAACCTTTGATTCCAACCGAGTTTATCAGTAACTTGCAAAAATTGATAAGTTTCTTTCTCTTCTTAATCATGTTGAGTGCATAAATAAACATTCACATGAGTTTACCTTTGCTATTTTCATTAATTTTCCTTTATAATGAATTAATTAATTGTATGACTTACCTGTGAATAGGAAAACTCAAGACCTGTTACGGAAAACATTACTTCACCACAAGTAATCACAAAATATTGAGGTATTTGCCATAACATGCTAATACGATTTTCATCAACCACTTTGTTTAACTTGTAATTAATCTGATAGAAAGAAAGAAAAAGAAAATAAAAGCAATTAATAGATTATCGATAAATCAGCAAATGATAAAGTGGTGATAATATTAATTAATTTTCTCGAGAGTGTGAACGTGTTACTAACTTGACCAGAAGTTGGATCTTGAATAACAACCAAGATATAAAATGCTCCATTTCGAACTTTAATTGAATGGCCAGAAATCGAACCATTATCAAAACCTTTAGGTAAAACTTGGTATGTTTCGATACCGGAGAAAGTTTCGACTTTAACGTATTCAGACAGGCCAAATGAGGTATTTAAATATATCTTAGGATCTTTTGAAGAGCCTTGAGATGATTTCGAGAAGACAATTGACTGTTGATTGTTTGAGGTGTTAACATTAACATTTGCTGAATTAGACAAATAGTGAGCGACTTGAATTGCTGAATCTCCTTGATCGGGTTTGATTAGATGATGGGTTATTTCAATTGCATCAAGAGCGTAACCTTGATCGTTTTCTCTAGCAATTAATTGAATAACGTCTCGAGCGCGATTTTGGATGACAAAGTCAATTGGTTTTAGAGTGATTGTTGAATTATCATTAAACTGACACTCTGAATCTTTGGTATTCGTTTCAACGTTAAATATATATGATCCGACTGGTAAAGATTTAGGTACTAAGAAAGCAGATCCTGATTCCAGGGGGAAGCGCATTGGATTTGATTGGTTCACTGAGATCAGAGTAATTGCACATGGTAAACTGTTGATGAATGTAATCGCTCCAAAACCTACTGAAATTGACTTAGGTACTTCAGACTCAATGCTTATTTGAAGCAAAGCGGCCAATAGAAACGCTACTCCGGCCAATATTCCTCCGATTGCCATTCGTTGTAAAGGGGTTTTAACGATTCCAAGTTTATCGGTTATTGGATAGACGATGTATTGAAAAATGGGAATCATGGCCACAATTAAGATTGGATTGATGACCTGAAGTTGATCGGGTTTAAGTGCTGTCTCTCCAAATAGAATACCATCCATTTTGAGAGCTTGAAGTGTCCATCGAGATCCTTGTTGATCGAATAGTGCCCAGAAAAGAGGTAAAGGTAAATAGAGGAAAAGTACCCGGTTAACAGTTTTAACCTCGTTAATCAATTTCGGCTGATAGAGAAAAAAAATCAAAACAAATTTGTCAATTATTTTAGTCAACAATTAAATCATTTAATTGCAAATGCTGGTGCTTAAATACTCACACTGTATTTATCTTCCGCGTAATCTAACCAGTGCTCTCGTTTTTCCAATCCCTTCTTTGAGGTAAATAGTGATTGGAATTTAAGGCCAAATGCATACTATAATTAACAAAGAAAAAAGAGGAAAAAAGGTCAAATAGTGAAAGGAAAATTTTAATTAATCCAATCGATTGTAATTAGGTCAGTTTATCAATGATAATGGTGGTGACATTTGTGACAATCATGATTGAATGATGATTAACATTTATAATTATCATACGAATAACTGTACTTACCGCATTACATTGGAAAAATTTGAAGATAACATTTCCTTTTGCTACTTCAACAATTCGATAAGCGGGTTTACCGGCAATGAAAAGTATCAGTGCAATGGTCATTAAAGCGGCTGGTACACCGAAAGCCAGAGGAAAACAATCACCTCGAGATGAGCAGGAAACATCAGATCGTAGGATTGGGGTGATGAACGTTGAAAATAGACTACCCATGTTGATGGACATGTAAAAAATGGCAAAAAATTTGTTCAACTGATCCTCTTGACCGGCAACAAATTGGTCCCCACCAAAGGCACTTACACATGGTTTGATTCCTCCAGTACCAAATGCAATTAACCCTAATGAAAAAATAGACAGCAGACTAAAAGATTGAAAGAAACCGAAAAGAGAAAGAGAAAAATGGAAAAAGATAAACAAACAATTAGACAAGTGTAATTTACAGTTCTTTTTGTTTTCATTAATTAAACGATTGTCATGATAATCATTTTAATTAATTAATCTAATACTTACCTATTTTCAATGTAAGATGAGGCTGATAAAGCAATATTACCCGCTACATAGAGTAAGCTTAAATATAATATGGTTCTGGAAAATGATAAAGAAGAAAAAAAGTAATTAGTTAATTGCTACACAACTCATGTGATTTAAGTTTTATACAAGTTTCCGATTACAATTGCACTTAAATTGTAGTTAGATAAAAAAAATGAAACTTACTTAAATTTGCCTAAATAAGAATCAGCTAATATTGCACCAATTAAGGGTGTAAAGTAACAGAGTAAAATAAATTCATGATATGATTGGGTTGCTGAGTCTTCAGTCTGTTTCAGAACTTTGGTAAAATATAAAACCAGGACGGCTAATTGTTGGTGAATAGATGTGATTAACACGACAGTTGATTAAGTTAATTTGTGATTTCCACGAGTAAATAAGGTGTTAGCCAAATGGATGATGTTGAGATGATGATGTAAGGAAAGAGAAAGAAAAAAGAAAGTAAACAATTAGTTGATTGTGATAAGTATATGATGATAGAAAGAAAGAAGGAAAAAAAATTGAGATTAATTGTAATTCAGTTCAATCAATTGTTCAATTTAAAATGTGAGTATTTGTGTGTATGTGTTTCATATCAATCAATCACTTTTGAGTAATTTTTTATATTTTCTCTAGTTTAATTACTGTGATCATTATCAAACTTTGATTTCAATTGTTATCAATTAATTAAGAAATATTTACTTGAACAATTTATCGTTTAAACATTTTATATACTTTTCCCCCTACAATTTAGATTGAGGTCTTTTTCGTTAATCAGTATATCAGTAATTAGTGACAATTAATTAAGAAATTAATGGAGAGAGAGAAAGAGAGAGGGAGAGAAAATAATAAAAGTGCAACAATTTAAAACGTAATTGTTGGACAATTTGTATTACATAACCAAATTAAAGTAAATGGGATTATGCATGGGACTGAATCTAAACAAATTAGCAACAGTTTAACATTAATTTGATTGGTAAACAAGAATGAAAAAAAAATTGAAAATTTCAACAAATTAATGGGAGAAAATTAAAATTAAAATTTTAAAATGATAATTATAGTGATTAAAATGGTCTTTAATCATAATAGAAATTGGTTAGGATCTTTTCAAGAGAAAACTAAACTGAACCTATGAAAATATCACCTGAAAGCAGTTTAGTTAATTAATTAATTGTTAGGGTAAAGAAGGAGAAAGGAAGAAAAATTGATCATTGATTAACGAGGAGAAAAAGCAAATCAAAGTGGGAGAATTTAAAAAAGAAATGGAAACCATGAGGAGTGTGAGGGTCAGAATCAGAAAAGAGAAAAAGAAAGAAAGAGAAATAGAAAGAGAATCTAGTCGGCATTAATTAATATTCGAGGGAAATTTTGGTTCCGGATAGAATAGAATTTAGTTAATAAATATTGTCATGTTTTAAAAAAGAACAAAAAAATGAAGGAAAAAGAAAATCTAAATTATAAGGAATAAGATAAGAGAAGAAAATCTACATTTACACAAATACGAAAAAAGAACAAAAACAAAAAATAGAACAAAAATTACGAGAATAGAATAAGAAATTGATTGTTTGTTTCTTCTCTTCTTCTTCTTCTTCTTCTTACCTTTCATTCCATAAAAACAGAATCTTTCACAGAATTCATTTCCAATGATGAAGAAAACCGATCGAGGATATTTAAGGTTTACACTGTTACTTGAAGCTTCGGCATCCGATTTCTTTTCATTATTCATGGTGGTACTTAGTTAATTGTCGTCAACTGATTAAGAGGTGTAGGTGAAATGAAGGTGGTGGAGGTTATAATTAGTTAAACCTTATGTACAATCTTCATGTTGCCAAAATCCAATAAGGCCATCGACCCCTTGCGACTTTCGAGCGAAACAGAAAACCCGCCAAATTTGATGAGCTCATTTTCGAACATCAAACCAACACTTGTGGTCGTTCCATCTGGTGTTCGTTTCATTAACTGTTTTCTTTTTTGTGTTCCGCCTTCTTTTTGTTGGCTCCTTTTTTTTTATTTCGTTTTCAACATTTTACCGGTTATCATGTTTAGTTGATTGTCGATCGTTGATTTGATTGTGTTAACTTTTTGTTTTTTTTTTTACTTTTTCTTTTTCAGTTATTGTCATCTTTTTGTTGTTGGTTCTCTTTAATTGTCTCTATTGATTTTTGGTGATTACAATTTTTGAAATAATTAGTTGGATTCGTTTGCGAGAGTTTGTTGTTTGTCAACAAGTGTCTGATTACTTGTTAGTTTTAGTTGAGATTTTAGTCAATAAATTGTGATTATAATTTTTGTTTTGTTCTTTGGATTAATTAGTATTACTAATTAGTGGAAATTAAGATTCTCTTTTTCATTTGAACTGTGAAATGATTGTTTTTATGTGAAAATTATGGATACATTTGTCTTGGTTAAATAACAACAGGTGAGTCCATTTTTTAGTTTTTTTCTTCTTCTCTTTTCTTGTCAATATTTTGCCAGAAAAAGAATCACTTCATTTTGGTTAAATTCTATTCTATTTGTCGAATTTATTAATATTCTTTTTTCTTTTCTTTTCTTTTTTACTTTAGAATTTTCAACAATTCCATCGACACTTGTGATTGTTGATTCTTATACCAAATTTTCTGTTTATCCTCCTATCTTCTAATCCGAGAATATTATTTGTATACTTTATTTTTGGTGTTGATCAATATGGATAAATTAATTGCTCGTCAAGTGAATAAAAATGTTGATAATCAACAGCAACAATATACTTATCCACCACCACATGCCCACAGTTTAATCTCTAAACGAGAAACAACTAAATCATCACTATCAACATCATCAACATCCTCATCCCAATCACCAATGGTAATCAATACTGAGATAAAACAGAATACAGATTCATCATGTTCATCACCAATAAATCGTTCACCAAATCAACGTCAACCAATACACTCAACATTTCTCCATAATAATCAACAACAACAACAACAATTAAACCAAGCTAATCTTCAAATACCACAATCATCATCATCAACAACAACCAACACAACAACAACCCAACAATTAATATCATCAAGTCATCATAATAATCATCATCATGTTCATAATAATCAATTTAATCAACATAATAACACCAATAATAATATTGAAGGAGGTTCACCGATTTCAACTCATTCAGCCGATGATGTTCATAATCATAATCATCACCAACCTTTGGTAGTCAATGGTGGTAATGGTAATAACAATAGTGATCATAATAAAATAATCTCATCACCTGAAACAGGTAATAACATTATGGTTTACTCTTCCTCGGTCGGTGAACATGAGATTAAATTTACCAAAACTGAAGGATGTACACCGTCTACCTGTATATGTGTATTTATTGCCATACTTCTTATATCTATTGGAGCATCATCGGGAATTTTTTACGGACGTAAGTAATTACGAGCAATTAAATCAACCAGAATAATATTTTGATTACCTTTTACCCCCAATCACAAGTAGTATTGACAGTCTATTATCTTGATTGTCTTGGGTTTGACACTTTCATTTTTCTTAATTGTAATCTTGTCATCTCGTTATTATTTTATAACACTTTCAATTTTGTGTGTTAATTGTTTTATACTTAAATTGTTTCATTGTCTTTCTAATCTAATATGATAATATATATTAGTATTTGTTAGCTAATTGTTGTTGTCGTTTCATTAGAGGTAACACTTAATTGTCATAATTGAGATGAGTTTTTACACACTAATGATAAAAGTTACTTCCGTTAATTGTCAGAACAAGTAAAGATGATTAAGATTAGCTCTTAATTATGAATTCAAGTTAATGATAATCAAGTTAAATATATATATTACAAAAAAAAGTTTACTCTAACCATTTGAATTGTTTATCAAGATTAACTTTTTTTGTTGTTGTTGTTAAACTAATCTAATTACAGTTAATTGTTAATTTTTTTTCTCGCTATCACAATCAACGCTCCTGGTTTTTAGATTCACCAATTTTACCCATCATCATTTTTCATCAATTAATACTGATTATTAATTGATTAATTACTCAACTAAACTAAACCTTACCCCTTAATTTACATTAACTTATTCAAGAGAAACAGAATTAAATTGAACAATTAATCGTATATCTAATTAATTTAATTTTTCTTTTCTTTAAACTTTAGTTCGCTCATATGAAGATGCTTTACTTAAAGGTGAGTAACTTAATCTAACTACTTAATTACAATCTTACAATTAATAATTTGTTCACTTTAATTAAACTAATCATTAACCAACTGATCAACTAACCATTTGATTGAATGTGGTTTCTTTTCACTTATTGAATTACCTTTGACATGAAATAGAAAATTAAATTGTTCATAATCATTGAACAATAAAAGGTTGATTGTGAAAAATTAAGCTAATCAATCAATCGTCAATACCATTTACCTTGGGTTATCCCTTTTCAACAAATACAAGATAATCAAATCAATTGAGATTTGTCCGACACGCTAATCAAATGTCAATCATTAAAGGCCAAACCTTTCTAAACATTTTAATCCGAAAGCTTAACCTTTGGTGTTAATCTTAATCTTATGTGATATTATTATTTCATTGATTGTAAAATTGAAAAATAACAATACCAACAACAGTTAACTTTATGATAGTAGTAGTAGTAGTAGTTAATCAATAACAATTGAATTGTCATGGATAGTAAACTAACTAAGTTTAACGATGATAATAATAATTGACCTGATCTTTGTGATAGACAATTGAGTTAATTCAATTGTTTTTACTGACAAAATAACAAATCGTGTCGCTGATTCATTTGATTAGTTTATTAGTTGTTTGGGTGATGATAATACAATCAAAGATTATATTGTGATTATCATGGGTGATGTTGTTTTATTGTTGGTATTGTTTTCACCGTTATAAATTATTGTGGAGGACAAGTTGAAGGAGGAAGAGGACGATGATAATGATGATAATGATGATCATGATCATGATAATGATGATCAAATTCAGTAGGATGAAAAAGGTTACATTAAGGAAGAGGAAAAGTAGGAAGATCAATGGGGAAAGATGCTGGTGATGAATCAAATGAATGATTATCTAACTGTTAACAATTAAAATGGTTAAATTATTGTTGTTGTTGTTGATTATTCTTACCTTGGTTGTTTTTTTTTCCTATTGATTGTTAGTATTATATAACAATTAAAGTTTACAATTTAGTTGGATTCAGTGTTGGTTGTTGTTGTTGTTTTGCTTGAAAACATCATCTGTAAGGGTGTGAATATGTAGATATAATTACAATCATTTTATGCCCTCAGGGAAGTTGAGGTTAACTGACCCATATGAGCTGATGAACATGAGTGTTTATTTAATGAGAAAAGTTTGTTCATTTTAATTGTTGTTAACAATAAGAGAAATCAAATTAACTCAAGTAAAGATGATTTTTTTTTTCCTTACGATTTTAGTTATTAAAACAAAGTACAAATCATGAGCATCAGTTTAATTGTAATCAAACAATTATTATGATCATTTTGGGTAATTTAATTTATCAATTGTATTGACAAAGGTGATATAACTTAAGGTAAATGGTTAATTATTTCAAGTAATTTACATTAAATTATGATTAACCTTTTTTTTCCGATTCAATTTTCCCTTTGACCCTACAATAGATACACTAGTTACCTTGATTAGTAGGTCAACAATCAACTAATCACCTACCCTATGATTTTGCCCATTTTTCATTTCGTTAATCATTTGCTAATTAATTACAATACAAGTTTAACTCTAAAGGTGGACTACAGTTAACCAGAAATATAAAAAAAAACAATCAATTGATTATGATGATTGAACAGCAAGCAATTAACTTTTTTCATCGTAATCAAGGTAACCATTAACAATCATGGTTTTCATTATTATTATTATTAGTTAACAATTTATTTAAATGAAGTTAATATATATAAATTTAGGTTGCAATTATAACTATAAAACAACAATTATCTATTAATACTGTTAACAATTAATAATGACAACCTTTAAATTGTTGTTTGAATTTGAAGTGTTGATCATCTTTGACCATCAACTTTACAATTGTAATTAGATTTTCAATCAAAATTAAGTGTACATGTGTGTGTGTGTGTGTTAATTTTAATTGATTTTCATTGAACAACAATAATCTTTAACAATCAGAGTAACAATAATTTACCCATCTTCATACAATGATTAACTTAATTTAGTTAAATTTCACCCCTAACTACTAACCAATAAACTTAAGACTATTAACTTTTTTTTCAAAAGTTTAGTTGAAGCAAAAAAAACTATTTCCTTAACCCAGTTTACAAGGTAATCGTTACAATTTAAATTACTGTTAAAAACTAAACAACGATCAACATGTAATAGTTATTAATGGTCATCCAACTTTAGGTCAATCGATCAATGACCTCCGTCTCAATGGTATTTAGGTAATCTTTACATGAAGAAAAACATATATAATACATAGTCCAACAATTAAATAGCCTCTCCTATTTCCTTAATTGTTGTGTAACTAATATGTTCCCTTGATTGATTATCAATTGTGTAGATTATAAATTGTAAATCATTGTTACAAATTTACTAACTTCATGTCTACATAATATTTCACAGTTTGTCATTCATCTTACAATTTATATTATTATATGAGGTGAATTTTGTTGATCATGGTAATACAAATGAACAAGTAATTTAACTAATTCCTTACCACAGGATCAATGGGAGATATTGACCTGAAATAATCAACAGTTAATCCAATATATTTATTCAATTGAATACAGTTTAGACAAGAGTAAAAACCGTTATAATAACAATTGTATATAAGTATATCAATTTACTGCTTGATCATGATGATTACCAAGCATTATTATTATTATTACATGATGATTATCATCATCTTCATGATTATAATATTACAATTATCACTCTATCATGATGATATTGAATATTATGTATCCTGAATTGAGTAAAATGAAAAAGCAAAACAATTTTCTTACTTGATTGTTGTTTCATCATGAAAAGTTTACTCAGGCTTCTTAGCTTAATCCTTTATTTCACAGGACAATGGATTAACTTATTCATCAATCCGAATCAAGTTAATCATTAACAAAGTTTAATCTTGGAAAACAAGATACCTGATACTTTGATTATCTACCTGTAAATATAAGTAAACTTATTGTAATAAATAGTATTAAATGAATATAATCATTTAATAGATTAACATCCGTATCTTTTTTTTCTGAGCTTAAAAAGGCTCATTGTTGAGATGGAAATTCAATGTTCTCAATGATGATGAGCCTGTGATTACCTTCATCTTCATCTCCTGATCATCATCATGTTGATCGTCATCTTCATGCTCTTGATTCTATTGTTGGAAATGTTATTATGATTAAATTCCCTTTTATTATAATTCGTTGAAATGTAAGAACAATAAGAAATTTATTCTTATTCTTGTAGAACTTTTTTTCGCTCTTCTCCTTTTAAAAGGTAACTAAATGATGAAGAAGATGAAAGAAGATGAGGATGATGATGATGATGATCAGGAGACGAAGATGAGGATGAAGATGAAGATGAAGATGAAGATGATGAATATCTTCAGGTCAAAGAACAACATAAATCATTATCATCTTAATCACTTTGCATTAATGTTCATCTATTTTTTTTTTCAACACTTTTATTTTTAATACTTTAAGAGTTTATATCAATAAGGTAACAATTAACTTGAGTAAAGAGTTAATTGTGATTAGTTAATTGTAGTTAAATTGTAACTCTTTTTCTTCTACTTCTTTTTTAATTCTGATTGTGTGATTATCTTAATTTCCTATCTTTCTAAAATTAAACTTTTCTCATTGTTGTTGTTGTTGTTGATTTATTTTGTATCTACTTATTAATGACACTGATTTAACAATTAACTTGTTCTGATCCTTTTGTTTGGTTAGTTATTGTTATTAACTAATTGTTAAATAAAGATTGAAGGTAAATTAAAGTTCAACTAAATTAACCTGAGAAAACGTTTAAACTTAAATTGTTGTCATCTTTTTTTTATATATAATTTAAGTTATTATTTGTTTTTGTTTTTTCAAATTTGATTGTTTACTGAATCATGTTAATTGTTGTCCATTCACTTTTCAAATAATTGTGATTGTTTCAATTAATTTATGTATGACCATCACATTTATTAATACAATTACTGATTTTGTTGATAATTTGACCAAGAAAATTTAATTGCATTTTAATTGTGTGTTGTTATTTGGTTTGTTAATGAAAAGTTTGATGATTAGTTGTAACAATTGGAAAATGATTATTGTAATTTAATTTGTTGTTTCTTTATGTTTAATTGTTTCGTAGATTTAGTTTTCAAAGGTCAATTCACGGTAACTCGAGGTGATTCTTATAGTCCAGAATTTGAGAAACGATCATCGGATGAGTTTAAAGAAACATCTCGAAAATATAAAACTCGTTTGGACATTTTGTTCAAAGAAAGTGGCCTAACCAAAGCTTTCCGTCGGTCTGAGATTCTGGCTCTTGAACGGACACCTAAACCTCGTTCAGATGATCTGATTGTCCACTTTAATCTGGTCTTTTCACCCTTACTAAGACCTCGACTGTCACCGGCTGATGTTTACTCGATATTAATTGAAGAAATTCGAGCCGATCGTAAAAAGTCATTTAAAAATACTACGATTGATCCAAATTCTATCGATATAACGGAAAGAAAATCGGATGGAGGACGAAAAGGACTTTTCTACACATCGTCGCCCTCTTTTCCCGCTGCAGCTCAGTTCCTAGAGAATCCATCACCTTGGGAAGCTCGAATCGGTTTTCCTGGTCTATTGGAAGGATTGACCACTGAACCCACTCCACCGCCTCGTCGGTGTGTCCCCATAGAGTTGCCCTTTTGTTACAATCTATTGCAATACAATTACACCTCTTACCCAAACATCGGAGGCCATTGGAATTTAACTTCACTCGAATCTGAGTTGATCTCTTATCGTCAAATTGTGGACGCTGAATGTTATCCATTGGCTCGAGATTTTATCTGTCAAGTTATTCAACCACAGTGTTGGGAAGATGAGATAATCCCACCCTGTCGAGAGTATTGTGAAGATTTCATGATCTCATGTAAAGATTGGTTAGTTAAATCAATCACCGATAAACTAAAATGTAAACAATTTCCTTCATCATCAGAGGAAACATCCTCATCTACAACCTCACCCACCACAAGTTCATCTTTAACCACTTCACCCACCAATCCAAGTCACATGTTATACACAACAAGGTAAGAATCACCTTGATAATTAACCAAGTTAATTAACTTTAAATTTTGCTAATGATTATTATCCTGGTGAGTTAACCACCAAAAGGGTTTACCGGTTTTCTTCCGGTTTTCGTAGATCCTTTGATCCATTTTATTGTTTTATTTTACGGATTAATTTACACTGAATCATCGTAATCATCTAATTATCATCCGATTAACATTTTACTGTCTTAATTTGATTCATTTTAACCGTTACATTATAAGGGGTAACCCCAAACCGTAGTGGACTTGAAGTCCAGTCTATTTTTCATGGCCCAATTCATCATCCAACCAAATATAGTTTGACCCAAAATTTTCAGTTTCAAGACTCAAAAGTTTCCTGAAATTTACCTGTAATCAAAATCAAATAGATTATAATGATTATACTGAATGCGAGAGTAAATTCAGTTTTTTTTTCTCTAACATTTATCGTTTATTCATTGTTAGTCTGTAATATATTTCAACGGAAAAAATTAAGACAACAACAGGTAATCTACTGATTACCTGGACCGTGATTGTTGTGTTTTTTTCTGGTGACCAGGCCTTGACCATCAAACTAATACAAGGATGATGAAAGAAAGGCCTTGTTGCTGAATTTAAGAATGAGTAATATTAGTTGGGAAGATGAAGATGATAATTATGATGATGAATGTAATGTGTGTGGGTGGGTGAATAAGAGGAAGGAAGAAAGGAAATATGAAGAGAGAGAGAGAGAGAGAGAGAGAGAGAGAGAGAAGATGAAAGTAAGTGAATTAGCAGAAACTAGATCACTTTTAGCACGTTTGACCTCCGCCCGTTTACACATACACTAGTATTTAATAGATGTTAAGTTTGAGCCCAAATGAAAGCATAATAAATAATAAAAGTAATAAACTGGAAACGGTATTTAAACAATCAAAGTTAATCATTACTTATGATTAAGGGTCAGTTTTGTCATGTTTATGTTATTTACTGATTCCTGTTAATCATAAAAATAGAAACAATAATTTTAATCTGATTACTCTGATTTACATTTAAATCTTTGTAAATATTAATATCTGAATCTGTTTCATTTTTGATTGATCATTTTCAGTTTAACTTCATCATGATTCAGATTAAATCTGAACTTTTATCTTAATAAATGATGAAAAGTTCATTATTCTGTCTGAAACCTAACTCATCAGCAATTGTTTTCTAATCAAGGATTAGATTTTCGTTGAAATTTTCATGATACTCAATTTTTAAAGTCATAACTTTTTCATCTATTTTTTTTTCATTCTAATGTAATAATGTCTAATTTTCTAATGATATTTTTGTCTTTCTCCATCTTTTGAAATCACCATGCTCATCATTCAGCTCCCATGAGAAACTTTCAAGTCGATTGGTTGGAAAGACTGAGAATGAGAATCGTGTTCAGCTTAAATGTCGTGTTAAACCAACTGTATCTGTTCAACGATCAGCTGAACCCATCAGGAGTATTCAAATTACTAAGAATGATTTTGATTAATATATCAAATCGCCTTAATCATCATCATCTCTTCCGTTTTCATCGCCATCATTAACTGACACTGATGATGTTACCAAATTCTGAACGATTAAAGGGAAAAATTGTAAAATCTCACAATCTAATCACCAATATCATCAACATCTTCATATACAGAGAAATCATTTAAAGTCATCGAGATGCTAATCATTTTAATCAAACGAAACCACAATTAATCAATCAACACCCAAATGATTTATGGATTAAATCAAGTTGATAGTTTACTACGACGATTGTTAATCATTAATAAGATGAGATGTTTTTCTTATGTAAACTGGACCAAGAAAACTTTGGTCATTTAAAGTTGGACTAATTCGTTGATCAACAACAATCAGAACCCGATTAAGATTAATCATCGAATCTTCTTTAACTTCTCTCATCCTCCATCCATAATCATCATCTTCTCTTCTTCTCATGCATGAATATCATCATCATCATCATCTTTCTCTCTCTCATCTTGTTAGATTTTAAAGTTTCTTCTGAATTTTTTTTCTCTTCTTTTTTTCTATCAACTAAAAATACAATCAACTAACTAATAATATAAATAGTTCACCGTATAGTTGAAACATATAAGTAAAAGAGGAAAAAAATCAGAATCAGAATCAATATGAGTTCTGAACAATTTACTTTTCTCATGATGCTGATGATGATGATGATCATCATCATAACCATGTTAGTACTATGATATTGTGTATAAAGTATTGAAAAAAAACTATTGAAAGTTAATCAGAAATGATGATTGACAAAAAATTAATGTTTTCCTTTCATTTCCATGGGAATTTGTTGATTGTTAGTAAATCATTAATGAACAATTAAATTTATATACCTTTTCTCTCACAATCAAATTGTTCTGTCTCTCTGCTTTCTTAATTATCCCACAAATGAACAAAAAAATAAAGATACAATGTAATTAGAAACAAAAAAAAAGTTGATACAAAATTTGATTAAATGTGTTGACACAATTAAGTATCTTTTTTTACAATTATCAATGAAAACTGATCAAAACCATTGGGAATTAATTTACTTATGTATAAAACTATGTAATATTTATGAGGATATTTAATTGCTCGTGGCAGCGGTATTGGAGGTTGGTAGGGGTGGAGTGGAAACTGGAATATCACCAATCCTACCTTTCCATACAAAATAACCCACCACGCCGAGAGCAGCGGATATTAATAAAATGAGTGAGGATATTAACGCAATCCAATTGGTCTGAATAAAAGTGGCCTTTGCCGAGGCTTCGGATGCTTTGACCTCATCACTTGTCTCTACGGATCTAATGGTTTCCTTAATCTCTTTGGGTATTAACTCACTAGTTCCGTGATCTTTAATCATACCAAATCCACGGTTCGGTAAACCAGCCTGAGGCATAAATCCAGGGTGACGATAGGGTAACATTGGCCGTTGGGCAAGTTGAGGGTAGAGATAAGTTGGAGGAGGTGGTGGGGGTGGTAAAGAAGGTGGATCGTTAGAGGGTCGAGCGGGTGACGCATCTGACCTGGACTCTTCACTTTTGTTTTCTTCCACTTCAGCGGAAGCCGATGATCCTGATGAGATTTTATCACCACCATTTCCTGGTGCAACTAATGGACTCCATGAACTTGGTAACTCGGAAACGGAAGACGATGAATCGGGAAAACGAGTAGACACTGGTCGTAACATTGGACTTAAAGGTGGACTGTAAGTTAATAACGTTCCCGCTGGAAGCTGAGCTAATGGCCGATGTCCAGTGTTACGCTGGAAAAATCCCAAAATTGGATTACCATGGATTAAGAAAGCGGGATGACGAAACGTTTCCTCTGCGTCCAATTCAACATCAACCTCACTAGTGGACTGAGTACCTTTGGAAATCTTTGGTAAACTCGTACCCGGTGGGTCGACCGTTAATATCTGTGAAACTGTAACCACCATGTAGATTTGTAAGACACAAGCTAAGCCAATAATGAAAACACTTCGAGTCATATTGTCACAATTTAAATTCACTTCTCAAATCACAAAAATCTTGAATCCGTCAAGATGATCAGTTGAACGATAATTGTTACCAATTCGAGATGAGTTCGAACTCTAATATCTTTCGAAATGTTCGTCTCACCGTCTCTCTCACTCACACTCCCCCTTAATCCACTTGAAAGAATACAATTTATTAATAGAGATCAATCGGAAGATGATTAAATTAACTCTTCCCGTTTTCACTTAAAATTAAATCAATGAAACAATTTGAATATCGTGAAGACAATTGAATCCAAGGTATTAACACAATCGGATACGATTTCTAATTGTTGTTGTGATGAGTTATTTTAAACATAATCTTAAATTGTTCAATTGAACATCGAGAAAAACAAAGCGAAAAAAATTAAACGGTAACAATTAACTTATATCAATAGTTGATTGTGAATATTTTTCCAACTTCGATGAGTCTATCATTTGATTTGGATTTCAATTAAATCAAAAAGATCAACCAACTTTTACATAACGTTAACTGGTGCTAATTGTTATTCAATTTCCCACTCCCACTTTGCCCACTCTCTCACTATCACTCTCACTCTCTTGTTCTCTCTCATCTCACTCTCTTTGTCTCTTTCGAATTTACTTTTTTCTTCCTTCCTTTGATTTTCGATGAAGAAAAAGTTTCCACCGGTTCGATGATTTTCACTTGATCTTTGTTGCATATCGAACTTTTTATCAACACTTACTCTCGATATTTATTATTACATCTATTTATTGGTTACAAAGAGTGATTAAAGTTAATGAGAACAATTAACTCTACAATTAACAACAAGAAATAAGATGAAAATTAATCAGAAAGGAAACTTTTAACAATCAGTTGATTGTATTCGGACAGAGACGCTTAGGTGCTTTTACGATTTTTTTTTTGTTAATTTAGTTCGAGATACCAAGTGATCTGAAAGGTTAATTGTTAACAATTTAAGGAAATTTGGGTGAAAGTGATTTTACTTCCGATTGTTAATTAAATTAATCTATTCAATTTTGTTTTCTCTCTGATTGTTGTGATATATTAATATTTCAAATACAAGAAAATAACAATAACAATTTAGATTGAAACTTTTTTATTATTAAATTAACTAATTATCACTTCAGCTATTGTAAGATTAACTGATTAACGGATTTCAATTGTGTCATTGGCTGTCAAATTATTAATATATTGATTTCCTAACAATTCATATAAATCATTTGAATGAATTTCAATTTGTAACCTTGAAAAACTTAAATTCATTCACAATTTTTTAAAAAAACTTACTATTAACAATTCAGTTGATTGAATTGTTTATTTTGTCATTGGAAAGGACATTTAATTAAGTCAGTAGTTATAAAAAGACCTTTCTGAGCCCTTTTTTCCTCTTTCTTTTCTCTTTCTTTTTCACCAGAGGTTCTACCTCTCTCTTTTCCTCTTTCTTTTTTCCTTTCTATTTTCTCTTTCTTTTCATTTTCTTTTTTCTTTTCTCTTTAGTTAAAGTTCGCGAACCCGTGTCAAATGTTGTAAAAATAAATTTGAGTCAAGAGTTATTGGTTAAAAATTTTTATTACCAAAAAAACTTTTTCAAATTGTTCACAACTTTTTTCGAACATTTACCATTAGGGTTCAAATGAAATGAACAAGTATCACCAATTCGATTCAACCTCGGGTCATATCCATGTTTTCTCATATCTTTACATGGAATTCCTAATTTTTTGAGAAACTTTTCAGATTCATCTGAAACAATACCAACATAAGGTCGTGATGGAGACTTAACTTTTCGATAAAAACCATTCGTATAGTCTCTTCCTGTGTTTAACCAGAGTGAACCATCTCTGAATAATATGATTCAAGAGATAGAGAGTAAAACAATTGCGAATATGGAACAGGATATTTTCCCGCCAGAGGAGGAATGGCCTACATTTCTTAATGATCCTTCGGTGAGTCTGTCTCAACATGACATTGATTCAATGTTACATGAGTTTTTTCATGAAACCCCTCATTAACCTCAACCGATTCCGATTATGGTCACCAATCGTGTTGATCCACCGAAAGAAATCGGATTTGATAATTTAGTGCTGAGTATTGGAAACCCTGGCCAATTGTTTCAATTTAGTTCAAATGGTGAAGTTGAAATTACGTTAAAACTAAAAGTTTCAATTATAAATTTCTAATAAAGATTTTCAAACAGTGAAACGTTATAAATTTTATAAAAACGCGGTCACAAGATGACAATTTGTTGAAGAGAAAAAGAAAGAGAAAATAAAGAGGAAAAAAGGGCCTAGAAAGGTCTTTTTATAACTACTAAGTCAATCGGGTTATTATTACGACGATTGTTAATCATTAATAAGATGAGATGTTTTTCTTATGTAAACTGGACCAAGAAAACTATTGGTCAATATCCAGGGTCAGACTAATTTACTGACCAATAACAATCAGTATCCGACTGAATGATTAATCATCAGCATCTTTTCATGAATGAAAATCATCATCTTTCTCTCTCTCATCTTGTTAGATTTTAAAGTTTCTTCTGAATTTTTTTTCTCTTCTTTTTTTCTATCAACTAAAAATACAATCAACTAACTAATAATATAAATAGTTCACCGTATAGTTGAAACATATAAGTAAAAGAGGAAAAAAATCAGAATCAGAATCAATATGAGTTCTGAACAATTTACTTTTCTCATGATGCTGATGATGATGATGATCATCATCATAACCATGTTAGTACTATGATATTGTGTATAAAGTATTGAAAAAAAACTATTGAAAGTTAATCAGAAATGATGATTGACAAAAAATTAATGTTTTCCTTTCATTTCCATGGGAATTTGTTGATTGTTATTAAATCATTACCTTTATCAGTTAACTTATTGTTGTTACACAATCACAATTATCAATAACCAACTGAATTAACTTTCAAATTGAATTTTTCACCAAAATCTTATTATTATATTTCAAAATTAACTCGAACCAGAATATCATCAGGAGATAATCTGGAACGGGATTATCGGGCTCAACCATGGCGACGATGGCGAGTCCAGCTAATATCGATGAAGTTTTCGCCAAATCTTTTAATTTGGAGCGTTTTAATTGTATCCTTTTCCATCTTGATTGCTGTTAATTGTAGTCGCACAATAGTAATTATTTCAATATTTTCCTTGTATTTTTATTTGGTTAGTTTTAGAGAGCAAGACTCAATCAATTGAGATGATCAAGATTTTCAATCTTTTTTTTTTGAAACAGTTTATTCAATTAATTTGATTCTTATTGGTGTTGTTATGTTGGTGTTAATTAAAGTAATGTAATTAACTTAATTTCGAGCTCCATCTTATCCAGTTTCTGTTATTGTTTCCAATGAAATCATCACAGTGCAAGAATAATTAATGAAAATGAAAGTAAAACTGGTAATCATCTCAGTTATGAAAAGAAATTTGATTAATTTAGATGGAAAAGTTAATCCAATTATCACTAATAATGAACATTTTAATTTCCATCAGATTAATTTGATTAACTAATATTCTAACATATTCCAATATAAACTTCATATAAACGTTTCAATTGATTGCAATTTGCAACTAAGTCAAGAAAATCAACATTTTGATGAACCAATGTTGTTTTATTTATTGACAATGACTTTAAATGGAGACGATTGAGACAATTAATCAAATAATTCAATCAACACGAGATTAATTTGATTAGACGGAGAAAAAATTAACTATCCTCATGCGGAGAGAAACATCAACTTTATCCAATAGAATCCAAACCATGTGTTTGTCTTTTTCTCTTTTTTCTCAATTTGTTTTCTATTCTTTTCTAGGGTTTGTTTTTATTTCTTCTCTTTTCATTTGTATTAATTGTGTTTCTTTAATTGTTTAATTAGTCTAAATTCTAATCCATAATTACCATGAGTGGAACTGATTTAACTTCTTGTGATGATTTACTCGCCTTTCATGTAATTTCTGTTCATTTCTTAATCTCTCAAAGGTTTACCGGTTAACCTTTTCCTTGTTTATTTCTTGTATTGTGTTTAATTGTTTTCATTTAATTCATTCATTTAATTGTTGTTTCCTCTGTATTTAGGATCAAATTATGAAGATGAGAAAAATTGATGACAATATTGTCTATGTCCTGAATAGTTCAATTTCAGTTGATGCTCACAAGAATGATGTTTCCCTATTGACAAGAGACTGTAAAGATTTATGGTTTCAAGTGAGTTTATGATTCATTTTTTCCTTTGATTCTGTTAATTAATTGATTTCATTTTCTTTATTCACAGTTAAATGAATCTTACAATAACAGGGAAAAGGCCATTAAGAGATGTATTTCATCAGCATCAGAGAAATTGCAAAAATTGAAAGATGCAAAGGATAACATTGAGATATTCAAACAGATGAAGAAGGAGCAGTTGAGAGTATGGATTGATTTTCTTTCTGTTAATTAATCAAAACCGTTGTAACAATTTAGATTGTTGCTCATTCACCTTCACCAAGAAATTGATTACGCCAAGTTGACTTTGGATTTCTAAATTCAATAAGATCCATTGATGATCGATAGTCAAACAATTTCTCTGTAATATGTTCACTGTTTTGATCTAATTTTCCTTTTTCGATTTTTTTTTCTTTTCTGTTCTTTCATAGTTACGATCCTTCCAAACTGCACTCAATGTCGAAGAAGTGGTCAAAGATCGAAGTAGAAAAGTGAGTATATCGATGGCCTATGGTTCTATTGGAGAAAATTTTCTGATCAATATTCTCTTTCTTTGTTATTGACACAGATATTCTATGAAAGATGTCGAAATTATTATAAACCACCGATTGATACTTGATCGAAGTTCTCATGGCCAAACGCTGATCGAGTGAACCAAATTAACTGATTATATTAGAATTGTTTACAATTCTTTTCAAGTGTATCTTAACGGGAATCCAAATTTCAGCCTTGTCATTTAAACCTTAAGTCTCAAATTTGTATTTTATAATTAGAGTGATCAAAATTTAGCCAATCTGTTAGTTGTTAAATGTACTTTCACTACTTGTTAACTAATTGTTACAATTAAGTTATACAGTTTCTTGTTGGGTTTTCTTAGCAAGTTTAGTTAATTATTTTAAAATTTCTCAAATTTCAAATTCACTTAACTGATATAACTTTTATTGATTAAGTGATTAACTAATTTTAACTATTGAGATATTGAGAAGTGGCTTTTGTTTTGTTTAAACTTTAATTGTGATGATTGTGATGGTAAATTGTGTCAATTTACAACCAGAGAAAGAGAGAGAGAGAGAGATAATTAAGTTGATTAGTTTTGAGATGAAATTGTTGTTTATTTTTCTAATTAGTAACTAATAGAAATCAATGAGGATTAAATTGAATTTGTTACTCGACAGGCAAGTAAAAGTTGATTCAAGTTTGGTTAAGATGAAGAAAAGTTAATTTAGAAGATGAAAATTGTAGAAATGGAGAAACAAGAAAAAATCGAACCAAAATTTCATCTTCTCATCTTCATCATCTTTTCTCATCATTGTCACACTCTCTAATTTCAGCCTGATTCTCTTCAGTTATTTCCACCCTTGGAAGATTTTCCCTCCTCCATCAGTCACCCTTCACCTTTTTTTTCCTCCAACAATAATTGTCTTCATATCTCTGAGAAGTTAATTATTGTCTCAGCAATTTGCTCCAACAATCATTGGAAAGGTAAAGAAAAATAAAGAGGAGAAATTATCATAAATCATTTGGTCGAAAGGGTCAAAAAAGATCAACAAATTAAGAGAAAAAGAAACGACAGAAAAAAAAGTTATGAAAGAAGAGAGAGAAAAAAATTTGCGTTGGCCGGGAATCGAACCCGGGCCGCCCGCGTGGCAGGCGAGCATTCTACCACTGAACCACCAACGCTCACTCATGAAAAAGGTGCAATAAAAATTGTATAAATAAGTGATGCAATGAAGGATTTGTGATTCGAATCAAAGTTAAACAAACTGAATGAAATTCTGGTTCTCATCAAATAGTTATCGCTGGTTAAGAGTAAACAGATATTCTGATGTAACAACAACTCATGATTTCCTTTCAAAGATCTGATACTTTTTCCATTATCAGATATTTGATATCGAGTAGAAAATTACTCAATATCGGTTCACCAAGATTCTTATGCAAGGTTACCATGTGTTTGAGAACAAAGAGAGAACAGAATTAAATTAATCTGGTGTTAAGAAAATTAAATCTCCTTCCAATTGGTTATTCGATTTTACTCTCAACAAATGATTGACTCAATTTGATAAAAAAAAATTCCATTTAATTGGAATTAGAATTTTTAAAAATTCTTTTTGTCGAACCTTTCGTGTTGGTTGTAATTGTATTCAACAGATGGAGACACTAAATTTTCTTTATTTGCCTTTAGATTTTTAATAATCGAATTCGCTTTCGGAAACTCGGTTATCTTTTGCTGTTCTTTTCCTTTTTCTTTTCCATTGTGTTTCTACTAACACTAATTCATGTTAGTGTTTCTTTTGTTTTCCTTTTTTAATATTTAAATAGAGTTTAATTGATTAATATTAGCGAATTGTTTCCATTGTTTTTTTTCTCTTTCGTGTCTTCAATCAATTTTATTGTGTTGACTGTGTTATTCCAATATATATAATGTCAAATAAAGATCTTCTCTCTGCTGCTCTTGATGAATGTGGTCTCAATCTAAATAATGGTGGAGCGAAAAAAAATGTGGTTTTCTTTTTCTGTAAACCTCAGGCTAATCCACCAATAGCTCGTTCACTTCTTGTTCGTCCAATTAAAGTTCCCGTTAAACGTTTAGAAGCAATATCAACCTCTTCATCACCATCATTACCGGCACCAATATCATTAAGGTTTCCAGTAGCACAACCACAATCATCTCCACAACAACAACAACCACAACAACAACAACAACAACAAATAATACAATTGCAACAGCAAAAGCAGCAACAACCACAAATAATATTTAAAACTCAACCTCAACCTCAACAGTTACAGCAATTGAGACAACCTCCACAACCACAGATTATATATAAACAACAGCCTGTAATTAAACCTCCATTACCAAAATTACCAGTAACCAAACCACCACCAAAACCTCAGATCTTAGATATTCCTGATGAAGATGCTGGAGAGGAAATTTTCCAAGCAGATACTTATGCCAACTACATGCCATCTAAATGTATTAAATTTAATTCTAGAAAGAAAAGATAATCAACTGTAAACCATTTTCTAATTGGACAAATATTAATATTCTTTTTTGTTTTTGTTTTTATTGTTCTTTTACAGTGAAAGTTGGCTGTCGACATCCTGATCCTGTTGTAGAAACAAGCTCTCTTTCTAGTGTCCTTCCTCCAAATGTTTGGTATCGATTAGCTATCCCTGAGGATATAATTGACGAAGGAAAACTTTCAGCTCTGCAATTAGAGGCAATAGTTTATGCTTGTCAACAACATGAAACAATTTTACCCGATGGGTGCCGAGCAGGGTTTCTAATTGGTGATGGTGCCGGTGTGGGTAAAGGTAGAACCGTTGCCGGTATCATTTATGAAAATTATCTTCTTGGTAGGAAGAAAGCAATATGGTTAAGTGTTTCAAATGACCTGAAATATGATTCCGAGAGAGATCTCAGAGACATTGGAGCCAAAAAAATTCAGGTTCATCCTCTTAATAAGGTGATTATATGTCGCTAAATCTATGGTTAATATTCATATTGACTGGGCTACTATAATCAGTTCTCAGTAAATTGTTTACTTATACTAATATCCCAGTTACAGATAATTGACTTGTTGGCTTTTTATTTCTTGTATACATTTAGTGAACTTATTTCTAATTATCTTGATTTTTTCCCATATCTAACAGTTTAAATATGGTAAAATAACCTCCAAGGAAAATGGTGGTATCAAGAAAGGAGTCATTTTTGCAACATATTCATCATTAATTAGTGAAAGTCATTCGTCAAGTAATAAATATCGAACCAGGCTGAAGCAACTCCTCCACTGGTGTGGTGACGATTTTGATGGAGTTGTAAGTCAACTCAAATTGCAAATGAATAAATAGTTGAAAGATTTATGCTAATTGATGTTTTTTTATGCTTCTCTTCAATTCTATAGATCATTTTTGATGAGTGTCATAAAGCCAAGAATCTTTGTCCATCTTCTGGTACATCAAAAGCAACCAAAACGGGTCTAACTGTATTAGAACTTCAACGTCAACTTCCAAAAGCACGAATAGTCTATGCCAGTGCCACGGGTGCTACCGAACCAAGAGACATGGCTTACATGACGAGACTTGGTTTATGGGGAAAAGGAACATCTTTCCCAGAATTTAATGATTTTATCACTACAGTTGAGAAACGTGGTGTCGGAGCAATGGAATTAGTAGCTATTGATATGAAATTGCGAGGGATGTACATTGCCAGGCAATTAAGTTTCGCTGGTGTTCATTTCAGGGTTGAAGAAATACCTTTATCTAGAAAATTTATTCGACTTTACGATCAATGTGTTGACCTTTGGGTTGATGCAAGATTAAAGTTTGAAAAAGCTTTAGAATTGATGGAAGGAGAGTCAAACATTAAGAAAGCGGTTTGGGCTCAATTTTGGGCATCACACCAGCGCTTTTTCAAATACCTTTGTATCGCCTCTAAGGTTAAATATGCAACCGTTTTGAGTCGCGAAGCTTTAAAAGACGAAAAAAGTGTCGTCATTGGTTTACAATCTACTGGTGAAGCGAAAACTTTGGAGACACTTGAAGAAAATGGTGGAGAGTTGAATGATTTTGTATCCACAGCTAAGTAAGTTTACCCTTTAATTATCCATTTGGTCTCAATGTCTTTTCTGATTGCACAATTGACTCACTTCAATTTTTTTTTCGTCTTTTTATTTTGTCTCTCTAGAGCTGTTTTCCAATCACTCATCGATAAACATTTTCCAGCTCCTAATCGAAAGAAAACTCTTCGTCTATTGGGCTTGGATTCTTCATCTTCATCTTTTCTTGCTGATTTGGGAATTAAAATTCAGCAACGAGGAAGTGAACAAATTCTGATTAGTGAACCTGTCGAGGCAGGTAGTTCTAAAAAAGATTCGAAGTCAAAAGTCAAGCGATTCAAGCGTGACTCTAAGAAAACTGATCTCGGTGGATTTGGATTAAGTGATTGTGATTCTAGTGATAGTGATGATAGTGATGATTTTCTTGAGGTTAAATCAAATGATTCTGATAGTGATGATTTCTCTGATATTGAACCTTGGGATCTTTGGCAGCAAAATAAACTCAAAGAAGAGGGTAAAGTGAAACGTGAAAAAAAGCAAAGAGTTAAAAGTAATCAAAACAATCAAAAGAGACCCAAGAGAAAACTTAAAATATCAAAAAAATTTGAAGGATTCAAAGGTGAATTCATGTCAGAACAAGCCGGTCAAATTTGTGAAGAGATGAGAGACGAATTATTACAAAATTTAGAAATTCTTGGTGAAGTTTTACCTCCCAATACATTAGACGAGCTGATTGAAGAGCTCGGTGGTATCGATAATGTTGCCGAAATGACTGGTCGAAAAGGTCGAGTTATATCTAGTGAAGATGGTTCAATTCAATATGAATCACGAACAGAAAATGATGTTCCCCTTGAGATTCTCAATTTAACCGAGAAACAAAGATTCATGGATGGTGAGAAAAGAATCGCCATCATCTCAGAAGCAGCTTCTTCGGGTATCTCTTTACATTCCGATAGACGAGCGAAAAACAAAGCAAGAAGAGTTCATATTACCATTGAATTACCTTGGAGTGCTGATAGAGCGATTCAACAGTTTGGTCGAACCCATCGATCTAATCAAGTAAATGCTCCTGAATATGTTTTCCTAATCTCAGATCTTGCTGGTGAACAAAGATTTGCATCTATTGTTGCCAAAAGATTGGAAAGTTTAGTAAGTATCAAGTAAACAAAATGATAATTTAATCTAATTTATTAATAGCCACTTGAGCCTTGAAAGAATCGTGAATCAATTATCAAAAGTGTAATTCAACACGATTTTCAACTTTTCTCTTTTCTCTTTTTCTAATATTTTTCTTTCTTCTCTTTTCTTCAGGGAGCATTGACTCATGGAGATAGAAGGGCAACCGATGCTCGTGATTTCAGTAAATATAACATAGACAATAAGTATGGTCGTCAAGCACTCGAACAAACCATGAAATCAATCGTTGGTTTGATGGCACCAATTGTCCCTCCACCACCCGGTTATTCATCTAATTTCTTTGCAGGTTAGATAATTGTCTCTCATTATGAGCACCAATATTGAGGAAAAAAAAGCTAATTTAATATTCTTCTCTTGTCTAAACATCCAATAGATTGTAAGAAAGGTTTAATTGGTGTTGGTATGGTGGTTTATGATTCCGCTACTCGACAATATACTCTCGATAAAGGTAATTGCAATTGAAATGGAAACGCTTTCTCTTTCAAATTTATCAATCACTTAATCATCTTCTTTTCTATTATCCTTCGGTTAACAGATTATCAGGTTATTGCCAAATTCCTGAACCGTATCTTGGGATTACACGTTGAACTTCAAAATGCACTTTTCCAATATTTCAGTGACACACTTGATGCTGTTGTTAAACAGGCAAAGAAACTTGGGCGTTATGATCTGGGAATTATGGGTAAATTTGTTGTTAATTCTTGTTAATTAGTCAATCATTTGTCTTTTTATTGGCTTTAGAATTAATCATGATTTTGTTTTATCTTTCTAATTGATTTTAACAGACTTGACTTCTGAAATTGGTAAAGTTGACATCCTTGAACACAAAAGCTTCATCCGTAAACACTCAACCGGTGCTGCTAAAATTGAGCTTCACGTTGTTAAAGTTGAAAGAGGAATGTCTTGGGAGGAAGCTCACTCTCTATGGAAACATTGTAAATCGGCTGATGAAGGATTTTATGTTACTCACGCTGTAAGTATCTTGACTAAATTGATGAGGAAAAGGAAATTATCTAGTTAGCTAATCATTATTTCTCATGTGAATTAAACTTTGTACCTTTTCTCTTGTATCTTTAAATATTTAAACAATCAAGTTAATTGTTTATCTTTTTTTGTTGTATATTCCAACTAATTACTGTTTATTTGTTTATTTTAGGAGCATATGATTCGCAAAGGAGTTTTATTAGCAGTTGCTGATACAAGTACCAGAGTTTTTGATAAACAAATCTTTCGTATTTACAAACCTAATGTTGGTCTTCAATCAAAAACCGAGACTATAAGTAGTCTTAAGGAAAGAGGTACTAAGATAACGGTCGAAGAGGCGGAAAAAATGTGGACCGATATTTTCGAGGCCGCTGAGAAGACTTGTGGCCATGCTCTTTGGTATGGTAACTGTCGACGAATCTCAGCCAAACTCACATGTGATGTTGGTCTTCGCCAAAGAATTTACCACATTCTCAGTGGTTCTGTACTCACGATCTGGTCAACCATTGAAAAAGCCGTTCCCCATGTTCAATCTAGACTTCAAATTATTCGTTTAAAAACGAAAGATGGACTTCGAGTGATAGGTAAACCATTTTAATCATAAAATTATCTTTCCATTGACTGGATAACTTATTCTTATTCTAATTTTTCCAGGTACTCTTATCCCTCCATCTCATGTTGACGCTCTACTTGATGTTCTGTCTCCCGATGAGTAAATTATCTGTAGAATCAGATAACGAGCAAGGATGTTTTTTCTGTAAACCCGATGAAAACTGTTTTCTTTTCCCTTCCATCTCTATTATAAATATCTCTCTCTCTATCTCTCTTTCTCATTTGATCTGTGATATCATTAATCTGCACCAACCTCAAGCTAGTTCGACTCGACACTGAAACTGGTGGAAACAATCATTTGAAAAGTGTTCTAAGAAAAAGTAAAAAGGTCTACCTTGGTTTATCATGTGTTTTTGTTAAATAAACTTTGTAATTTCTTTTTGATTTAGAAGTCAAAATTTAGTTGTATAAATGTTTTTCTCCATTTTCTTTTCTCTCTTTCTCTCTCTTCTTCTTCTTCTTTCAATGAAATATTAGTCTTCACACTTGAATGGATTAACATTTAAGAATCAATTATAATCACAATTTACACAAATAAAAACTTTTGTTGTCAGAAAACAAGAAAACACAACTACCCAGTCGAGTGAGGCATTCACGCCAAGCAACGAATGCTATCGGAAATTGTCAGATAAGGCGCAAAAATAGCGAAGAGCTTGAAAATGCACATGAAACGTATCAAAATGTACATTCGTGTATGAAAATGCATGGAACATGAGAAATGCAGTAAATATAATGAGCGCCAAGTAAATATCTGAATAAATGATTTATTAATGAATTCAAAACGTAATGAAAATTAATCAAAATAAAGTAATCATGATAAGTGTCATGAAAATATTAGCAAAACGACAACGAAAAAAAAATGAAAACAAAATGAAGACAAAATGAAAACAAAATGAAAACTAAATGAAAACAAAATGAAAACAAAATGAAAACAAAAGAAACATGTATGCGAGAGAAAAAATGATCAATTAAACATGAAAACAACCGAGTCTTTGACGATATCATTAAGAAAGTTTGAATCATCTTGTTCTTGATTCTTGTCAGTTTCATGTACTTCGTTGCTTGTTTTACTTTCGATCTTGTCTGCGTCCAGAGTAACATCATCAAGTAGATCATCAGTCAACGCGTCGAAACAATTTGCCTTTATGGTGGTTTTTTCATGTTTCATGTTATTGCGGCGATTACAATCATAAATAGCCTTGTTAACCTGGTACATGCTTTCACGGTAGCTTGCAAGTGACATGTGGTCATGGTTCTTAATTACATGAGCATGTTCTGAAAGAAAAATCAGAAAGTAGAAAATTTATTAAAATTTTGCAGGTTAATCAAGACTTTTGAACTTACCGATAATAGTGTCAATAATTTCTTGTCCATCTTTCACTCTCTCATCATCATTCTCACCATCTTTACCCAATCGCCATAGAAGATTAGACTTGTCCTTAGCCGTATTTATTTCGCAGTTCAACTTCAGTGATGACGGAAAACATGATCTCACGATTCGCGAAACAACTAAACTTGGTTTCTGTGCTTCGATGGCCTTTGAATATCCATTCAAAGGTAGAATTATCCTTCCACCAATTTTAACCTCGTCCTAAAATGAGAAAGTGTAGACATGTTAATATGGATTTTCTAAGAGCGATTCATGATCTCAACTCACCTTTCCTTTAACCTTTGTCGTGCTTATGTTTCTAGTCAAAGGAAACTTAGTTTCATTGACGTTGTCTCTCTCATTCAGTTTGAAGTTGATGTTCTTTGTTAAAATGAACAAGTTCTTGATTATTGGTGTCAGTGCTGAAGTAGGGGAAAGTGTAGGTATCATCTCTTCAAGTTTATCAAGGGCATATGTGATCTCAGTATTGGCTTTCATGTTATCATTACCTTTCTTGTCCATCATCTTCGCAATCAACTTCTTATCGGAGTAACTGATCTTACGACGTTTCACCTTTTTAACCGGACCCTTTTCTTCATGCTCACATGAACTCGAATCATTTGATAATTCTAGTACAGTTTCTTCAGAAATAACTGTAGCATCACTATCATTTTCATCTTGTTGTACGTGTGTAGAAGAAGATGCACCTTCATTTATCATGTAATCTTGTGGCGTACTTTCATTTTGATCCTTGTCAATGAACAATGAAGCAAGAAACATAGTTCTTGTATCTTTAGGCTCAGCTGGAAACAGATAAGTATGTCGAGTTATCGCGAATATTGTTGCCTCGAAAGTTAAATTTCTTTTAGATTTCTTAACCGTGTCAAGAGCTCTTGGAATCGCTTCTTCTAACGCAACACGAATACCTGAAATAAGAACACGGATCAGTTATCATGTAAATAGACATTGTTTCATTACTTACGTGAAATCATCATGATTCTACCGATGAAAGATTCATTATTCAATCTGAATCGAACAATAACAGTAATTTCATTAGCTTTCTTCTTTGGAATATCCTTTCCATGCACATGTAACAAAACGGGTTTGAGATTACCAAGATCTTTTTTCACGGCCAACAAAAGCAGGAAAAAGGAATCTTCATCAGCTTCATTCGGTAAACTTTTTGCCAATGGCCCTGGATCATTAGAGCTGGCTGACATGGTGATTGATGTTTCATGATTATTCTTTTTCAGAAAGTCAAGTAGATATGGTTGTCCTGAGGGCACTTTTTTACTTTTTGGAATTTTTTTTGTATTTAGTGACACGGTTGATGACTTGTTGCTAGCAGTTGTTAACTGTTTGAAGCCATTTATTGTTGTTGATTTACGCATATTGATAGTTTGATCACAATTAAAGGAATAATCACAAATAAGAAAAAGAAACGATGTAACTTGATTTCATGTAGCTGTAAACAGTAGATGTTATCATGAAAGCATGGTCAAAGGGGCAAAGGAAAAGGAAATCAAATTTCTTGAGGGGGTGTGAATTTATAAAGGGGGAGAGCTTTTGATCTTGTGACATGATTAATCATATTCTTCATGATAAATTTAACTTTGATTAACTCTTTTCATGATTGCAAAGTGAAATATTTCATTTATCATGGACCAAGTATCATCTTCAACATATTACCGTGCTTTGAGGTACAATCGTGGCCAGTTAATTCAAAATCTCATCTCAACTTTGGAAAGTGAATCTGATTCAGAGATAAGTGCTCATCATTCAGTAGATCATATCGATCAAGTGTCACAGGTGGATGAATCTGGAAATGATGATTTCATGATAGACGATCAAATTGACACAAATTTGTTGATGAATTGTTTGCTTGGGAAGTTAGTGTCACAAAATCATATTTCCAAGTCACAAATGGATGCGGTGATTAAAGGATTTTCTATTTTGTTTAAAAGATTAAACATGAACTTCAAGTTACCATCAATCTACTCGTTCTGGGATAATGCGACTAAGAACAGTATCAAATCTTATTGGTTCTTGTGTAATAAGAATCACGCTCATGGACCGTACATTGGTCAGCCAAGAAACTTCTCAAGTTATCAGTGTTCAGGTCATCATATTATTCCAAAGATAAAGAACGGGAATTATTTCCTTAAGTTGGAAATCAAGAGTCAAATAGAAGCAATTTTATCACTAACTTCATGTGATTTGATTTTTGATGTTGAAGATGATAACATGCTTACCGATATCAGAGATGGAGAAGCTGCTGTGTCAGCAAGAGCTGATGATAGCTCTTTGACATTGACCATGTACACCGATGAAGTACCGGCTTCAAAATCAAGTCGCATCTCCGTGTTCCCTGTTTTTCTCATGATAAATGAATTAAAGACTCATGTGCGCGTCAAACATGCAATCTTGGCCGGGATTTATGTTGGATCAACTAAACCACGATCTGCGTTGACTTTTTTCAATCCGATAATTGATGAGCTTAGAACATTGGAACGAGATGGATTAATTTGGACATGCTTGAAGCGAAAGATAACATTTTCAAAAAAGTTCAAGTTGATTTGTGTGATAGCTGACGCTCCTATGAGAGCCTATTTACGTTCTGTGAAACAATATAATTCACGTTTTGCATGTGATTGGTGCAAAGTTGAAGGATCAAGAATCAATGGCTCAATGAAATTTCCTGTTTTATCACAACATGAAATAACAAGGCTAACAAGGACTAAAGATGAGTTTATCATGTTTTCCCAAAATAACTGTAATGATGAGAGGGTTATTCTTTCATTGAAAGGAACAAGTTCATTTATTTACTTGCAAGAATTTGATATCGTGAATGGATTTGGTGTTGACATAATGCATGCGGTGTATTTGGGTGTCATCAAGGATCTCTTCAAGAGAGCATGGTTCAATGGTAACAAGCGTTCATGTTCATATTTTCTTGGGGAAAGTGAAAAAATTCGGGTCATGGATTCACGAATCAATTCATTCAAAGTCACTAAAGAACATTTTCGAAAACCAAGAAGTCTAACTGAATATAAAGACTGGAAAGCAACTGAATTTGCTTCATTTCTTATCTATTTTTTTCCAATCGTTTTGAAAGATCAACTTCCCTACAAGTACATCGTTCATTTGTCGTTACTCTCGGAAGCTATTTTCTCTCTGCAGTCACGAAAAATCAAGAAACAAGATTTAATAATTATTTCAAATCGCATCCATGAATTTTGCTCATGTATTCCTGATTTATACGGAAATGATTTCATGACCTACAATGTACACATACTCCAGCACTTGGTAAATTCAGTCAATTTTCTTGGACCGGCTAATTCTTTCTCAGCTTTCAACTCGGAAAACGAAATGGGAATAATCAAGAAAAACTGTAGAAAGTTTGTTGATCTACCGCAATTGATATCAAATCAACATGAAATACGATTGCATCATAATTTATGTTTGAGTCAAGTTGCGAATGGACTAAGTGATTATGAGAAGTTGTATTTTCATGTTGAATATGGTCATGGTCAATTCATCATGAACAAGAAGAGTAGAAAAATTCACTTATTACCTGAATCTTTAGCCTCTTTTCTACTTACCAATGGTTACGATGCAACATGTGTACATGAATTGCAAATCATCAATTTCATGAATCGCATGTTCACTACATCAAGTTACGACGAAAATCAGACTCGATGCAATTCATTGATCATGGTGAATGATGATACATGTTTTTCAATTACGAAAATCTATTTTTGTGAGCAAAAAACGATCTTAATGGTTAACAAACTGATTTTAGAAAATCCTTGTTTCATGAATTCAATGAATCATAACGATGGAAATCTGAATATCGCTGCTAATTTGAACACGTTCACACGTTGTATTGGTATAAACAGGTCACATGAATACTTGACAGTAGATACGAAAATAGTCAAACTGTTCAAATATAAAGATGAAAATTTGAGAAACTTTATTTTGATCAAACCATGTCTTTTGTTAACTTGAACAACAATGAATGATGTATTTTTGGGGATAAGCATAAAACATTAAACATGAAACTTGAGAACAAGAAAGCATGAATTGTTTTTTCATGATCATTTCCTTTTACTTTCTTTAGTGATAAGCTCTCTATGGTAAGCTTGGCATGAACCAAGAGCATGATTTTCGGAACAAAATGGACACTTATGAACACGTTCACATGTTTCATGGCACTTCATGAAATAATGGAATAAGTAACAAAAATTTTCACTTGCCAGGAAACATTTGGGCTCTTCCGATACTGGTAGGGCAAGATTGGCCTCACAAAGCTCTTTAGCCCAGTCAACTTTTTTGTTTTTGATAAAACTAGATACTTTGCAAAACGTAGCATCATCCATTGTTTGATATTCTCTTGTAACTAGAACTCGGCCACTTTTTTCTAGAAGATACTTATTGATGTGGCTTGTGGCATTTCGAGGAACTTTTTGGGTGAAGCAAAAGTTGGACCGAGGCTTAACTCCCATTAAACATGCCCTGAAGCATGTTGAATCAATATCTTGATACTCTTCCGGAAGTTCGTGTATTTGTTCACGTTTCACATTAACGTCGTTACCAAAGTCAATGAATTTCACGAGCCATGTTCCTTTCTCCATGTTATATGATTTTATGAGAGCTCGTTTCATTCTTGGCCCGAAACCTTGACGATCCTTCACCAAAACTCTTGAATGTTGTTTTACCGTTAATACGGGAACATGTAATTTACTTGGGTCATTGAGATCATTCATGATTTTTGCTCGTATCTCGACCATTTCTGGTATTTCCAAGAAAAACCATAATGGACACCGTAGATAAGTTATCTTGACCATGATTTCTTGTGTATTTTCCAGTCGGATGAGTGGTGATGAATGTGGCATTTCGATGCTACGATTCATAGCAACGATTCCATGATCACTTTCATCATATTCTGGTTCAGATTCTTCATCAGTATAAACACATGGATCAAACTCATCATGTTCCTTGGTTGCATGAGTAGTTTTAGCACGTTTCGATGTGGATGGTCCAGCAGAACTTGAATCTCGATTTGTGTAATATCTGCAATAACAATCAGCTTCTCCACATGGTTCAGTATGAGCAAAGTGATCTCTGCATTGATTGATTGCTCTTCGTGTAATAAACTCTGCGAACGTGTGTATCGATGATGATGCTTCTTGGTTACATGGTAGAATGTCTTCTTGAATCGAGTGCGAAACTGGTCGCAGATTTATACGTGTAACATGATCATTGGTTTTTTCTTGAAAGTCAATAATGACTCTGTTTACAACTGGAGTCTCGAACGATTGTAAAAGCTGCTTAACCCAAGGTTTGAGCTTATTTTCAACTTCTGCAATATTAGCTTTGTTTTTATCAATGTAAGATGAGATTTCATGTTCCTTTTTAGTCAAGTTTTCCATGAACTTTTGAGCATAATTCACTGAAGATTCAAGAGATTCAAGTTTTTTCCTGTTATCATGTGTACATGATTCAATAATCGAGCCGAGATTCTTGACCATTTCTTGGCACTTGTTCTCTTCCACTTTGATTTCATTCTTGAAAGCATCACATCTTTTCAACTGTAAAGCGAGTCTTTTCTCTACTGCACTTTTGAAGAGGTTGAAATCATGATCATGTTTAACATTTTCACTTGAATTTTTGTTCAAATGTTTCACACGTGTAAGTCCATGTTCACGTACACATCCTTCGCATAATAATTCATTGTTATCCTCGTTAACATGGGTCGCGATGAACTTGTCACACTTGATACATGGGGTTTCACAAGTAGAAACGCTGATCTTTGGTGTGCATCTTTTTGATGTAATAATTTTCCCGTGAACATGAATGAGATGAGGCTCACAAAGATTTTGTGAAACACAATAACAAAAAAATCTTGGCTCATTTAGACATGTATCATCATGTTCACATGTTGATACACCCTCCAATTTGATCAGGTCATCATCTTTGTACATGTCACGACAGACTTGGCATTGTTGATTTGAACCTTCCTTGCATTCACTGCAAAATGACCCAAGGCACTTGTGTATATAAATTGGACTTGTTTCCAAAATTTCATGTCCACAATCAGCTTCATGAATATCCATGGTACTTGAAAAAAGTAAAAAAAGACAAGAATAAATTAGAATAAGGATTCAAGCTAACATGACACATGTAATCAAGAATAGAGATTTAAATGAAACAAAAATCATACTTACATGTTACTTGGAACAAGGTGTAATCGAAACGTGAAACAAAACGACGATCAAAGTTGCAATTAATTAAAATTTGATGATAAACTAAGCTTTAAATAACAATTTCTTGTAACAGTCTTTGCTTATTTTAACCGAAAAAGCGACTTTGAATTTTTAAAAAAAATTCTCTTTTACTGACTGAAGACGCGCCCGATTTAAAATTTATCAAATTCTCCGAAAATGCAATCATGAAACATGTTCACTCATTTACAAGATTCAAGATTCTAGTTACACGACAATTAACACAATTATCATCATGAAATCATTTCTTTGTAAACATGTTCCATGTTAAAAAATTTCATGGTTCTCATTTTATTAAATCTGCGCATTTTTTTTAAGCGCATCAATTTAGTATCAGATGGCACTTGATTCGCAATTAAAATTCAATGTGCTCCGAACGCGACTTGATGCCCAATTTTTCACTCGACTGGGTAATTAAGTTGATTCAATGTTTTAAACCTTTGTAATTAATTCCCAACAAAAACAATTCCGCCGATTCGTCTCTACTTGCCTTCGGTTTAACGATGTTCACAGTTTCAAAAAGAGTTTTCATCAAACTATCAATTTCCTTGGTTCGATAACCATCCCAAAGTTTACCCAAAAATATTCCAGTTCCTGGTTTTAATACTTGAATTGAAAACTGAAGAGCCGAAAGAAACAATTTAACTATCCCTGGATGGTCAAGTTCAGCTTGACCAGAGGCTTTGGGAGCCATGTCACTACAAACGGTGTCCACCTTACGATCTTTTAAAAGTTCAATTATCTTTGCTTGATTTAATGGATTAGTAAAATCAGTGTTGGGTATCACGGCTGCACCTTCAATCGGAGCGATTCCAGAAATGTCAATACCAATGATCAAGGTTCCATTAACATTTTTCGGGTCACTTTCAGGGTAACATCGTCTGACCATGACTTGAGTCCAAGCACCAGGAGAAGCACCGAGATCAATGATTATCCCTCCAGGTTTAAGAATTTTAAACTCATCATCAATCTCAGTTAATTTAAAAGCACTTCGAGCACGATAATTCTCATAACGAGCTTTTTTCACATATGGATCGTTTAATTGTCTTTTAAGCCATTCAAATGAAGAACCAGATTTAGCATTTTTTGGTATAATTGTATCTCGATAATTAGGTTGACTAGTGTGGAGAAAACGATTTGGTAACAAAACATGTTTTTCCTTTTCTTTTAAAAAAGAAACATAATTAGTCGGTTTAACATTACCTTCTAAACGAAACAATCTCATGAAATTTGATTGGTTAACAATTGATTTGTAAATCATTACAAAATAATTAGATAAACAATTGAAATTAACAAAGGAAACAAGAAGATTAAATCATTTGAAACAAAAAGAAATCAACATATGTCACAAGTTCTTTTGGAGAAAATGAGATGGCGCCACTGTCATTTTCTCCGTTTTGTTCTTTTGTTTTTTTTGAGAACAAAATTGTGATTGAAAATTTTTCGCGCCTTTAACATCTCATGTTGATTGTTGTTTCTTTTTGTTAATTGTTGTTTACCGAATTAAATTGATTATGGAATCTAAAAGATCTCTAAACATACCCTGGTAAGTCACCTTAATCTGTTTACTATCCTTTGAGACTTTGTCGTCTTTTAGGTTGAAAGAAAATTGTTCCCTTCGGTTTCTTATGTGGCTTTTTTTTTCTTTTGCCTTTTGGTTTGCTTTTTAATCTTCATTTTTTAATTGTTGATTATTTTTTTTGTTCTCTTAGGGTTGAAAAGTATCGTCCAGTTGATTTTGATGATATTGTTGGTAACCAAGATGTTGTCGAAAGGTTGAAGGCTCTGGTTGAGAAGGGAAGTTTTCCAAATCTATTACTTTCTGGGCCTCCAGGTATTGGTAAAACAACAACCATCTTATGTCTTTGTCGGAAAATGCTTGATGGTCATTTAAAAGATGCTGTATTAGAGTTAAATGCTTCTAATGATCGAGGTATTGATGTTGTTCGAAACAAGATTAAAATGTTCGCTCAAACTAAGGTTACCTTGGGCCCTGGTAAGGTTAAAGTTATCATTTTAGATGAAGCCGATAGTATGACTGAAGCTGCTCAACAAGCTTTAAGGCGAACCATGGAAATCTATTCTAAAACAACTAGATTTGCTTTAGCTTGTAATACCTCTGAACGGATTATTGAACCTATTCAATCGAGATGTGCTGTTATTAGATTCAATAAATTAAGCGACGAAGAGATTAAGAAACGTTTGGTTCACATTTGTGGTAAAGAAGGGGTAACCTACACTGAGGATGGTTTAAAATCTTTGGTCTACACTGCCCAAGGTGATTTACGACAAGGAATCAATAATTTACAATCTTGTTTCGATGGATTTCAAAAGGTTACCAGTGAAAATGTTTTCAAAGTTTGTGATGAACCTCATCCACTTCAAATTAAAGAAATGATTGGACATTGTTTGGAGAAAAAGTTTGATCAAGCTTACACCATAATGGCTCATCTATGGGAACTTGGTTATTCACCTGAAGACATTATCGTTAATATGTTTAGAGTTACTAAAAATTATGATATGGGCGAATATCTTAAGCTAGAATATATCAAAGAAATCGGAGTAACCCACATGAGAATCGTCAAAGGAGTTAATTCATTGCTACAATTATCTGCTCTGTTGGCATCTCTATGTAAAAAATCAATTGGTAAAAGATGAAGTCTCTCAAATAATCAATCTTCCAAATCATTCGCAACTAATAACCAGAGATTCCAATTTGTATTCCTTTCATCTTTGCATCATTTAATACGAAATCCTCAACATCTATCAACAAGTGATGAACAAATTGCGAAATTATTTCCCAACGAGATGATATTACAAGAAGTGAAACTTTTCCCTAAACACTAATAAGAAAAGGATGATTTAAATTTTATTAGTAGCTAAATGTTACTATTTGTTTTCTCATATTTAACAGTTTTTCATTATTGAAATGAAGCCAAAAATAATTTGTCTCAACAATGGTCAATAATTATGTAAATTGTTTCCATCAAACTATTCAAGTTTACTGATGATGTTGACAATTAAATACAGCACAAAGTTTTCTTAACCTTCTCAATTGGTGATGATAGAGAGAAACACTCAATATAACCTGTCAATGTGTACACAAAAAGAAACATTTCAATCTATTTTTTCGGTGATTTTCGAATTCCAGAATCGAATTAATTTGTAAATCCAGTTGGAAGATGAAAGTTAATTACAAAATGTTAATTAATCAGATGGAAAAAATCATTAAACAAGATGATAAAGATGGAAGGTGTTATTAAAACCCTCCATCCAGAAACTGTCCCACTTGACTCGAAGCCAAAATGATCGTATGAACATTTTGATTACTATAGTTAATCTAAACATAAAAAGAAAAAGGCAACATCACAATTTAGTTGATTCTGATGATTTTGGCGAGAATATAATTTTCTTGTCTCAAAGAAAAGCGATTCAATTAAATTGTTCCAAGAATTTAAACTCTTATGAAGGATAACCCTTTCTAAAAGTTTTTCTTAGTTTACAATTGCAAACAACGAAAAATGAACAATTTGAAAACTAGACGAAAATTGAAATCTCAATCACCATGAAAATTAACTATTTCCAGTTAACCAAATGATTAACTGTCTGGGGAAAAAAATCAAATCAAATAAAATCAATCAGTCAATCAAATACATTGAATTTCAATCATCAGTCAAAATTGTCAAGGTTTAGAAATGTAAACAAATCAGTGATCATCAGTGTACTTGTTTTACATTGTAAAAAATGAACAGATAATATTGATGATGAAATAATAATCAGTTGGTTGATTAAAATTGTTTCTTTGATCATTTTTCTCTTCTTCTTTTTTACCGTTAGACATGATGAAGATGAAGATGGAAAATGTTAGACTAATGAGAATGGGAAATGAGAGGAAAGCTCATTAAGTTGTAGTTCTTATATGGCTTATAAAAGACTCCTAACAATAGACTTGCCAAAATTAAAATTAGACCTGAGCCATGATCTTAATCTGAGATGATGAGGAAGAGGAAGATGAGAAAGTAAGGGAAAAATATGATGAGAGAGAGAGAGAGAGTGAGATCTAATTTTGGTGAGTTCATTAAGAGGATCAAAAGAATCGGGATAACATGATAATGTTATTGGGCTTTGTTGTTGTTGTTGTTAAGTTAGATGGAGATAAAGATGATGATGATGACGACGAAGATGAAGATGACGATGGGTGTTAAAATTAGGGTTCCATGGTGAAGAAAAGGGGAGAGAAGGGGAGAGAAGAAGATGAATATTATCATTTGATCCCTTCGAAATTAAGACATTGGCAAGATAATTTTTTCTTCTTCTTGATGATGTCGCACGCATTGTTGAAGACCTTTCATTAAGCCATATAAGTCCTCGGTTCGATTTTCATCCTAACGGAGTGAAAGAAGGTGGATCTCTCTTTCTTTGAGTTCGAGGTTCTTTTTCGTGGCATAGGGAAAGAAATTCATGTTCCCACTTTCAAGGAAATAGAATTTTCTTCTTCTTCTTTATCTTCTTTCCTCTCTTTCTTTCTTTCTTTCTTTTTGTTCTCTCTCTCTCTCTTTCACTCTTTCTCTGTGATATCTTATACTCTTTACGGAATAGAATCAGTTGAGATCATTTAAATAAGAATCATCTAGTTATCAGTTTAGTCCGTTGATTCTTCATCCATCCATTTACCATTCTTTTGTTTTCTCTCGACGTGACAACATCTCATCTTTTCTTTTAATTTGTTTCTGTGAGTGTGTCCACTTTAGATTAATTGTTTAACAATCTTCGTTGATCCATCCAAACAATTAACAGAAAATGACCTCAGAAAAGAAAAAGAAGACAAAAGAAGATGGTGAATCCGGAGGATCGACCAAGAAACGAGCCCAACGAACAGGATCCAATGTGTTCGCCATGTTCACCCAAAATCAAGTCCAAACCTTCAAAGAGGTAAACAAATTTAACCTTTAAAACTTAATTAACTTTTCCATTTTCTCTATTAACTTACCTTGATTGTTAATCGTTATACCTTTTTCGTTGGTTAATTGTATAATCAGGCCTTCCAAATGATAGATCAAGATAAAGATGGTTTCATATCTAAAAATGATATCAGGCAAACATTTGATTCTTTGGGTAAGTAATCAATTGTTTCGCAATTAAATTAGATTCAAATGAGAAGATTAGGTAATTAATTGTGACAATTAATTCTTTCAACTATTAAGGTCGTATGTGTAATGATGCTGAGTTGGAATCAATGATTAGTGAAGCTCCAGGTCCTATTAATTTCACCACTTTCCTTACAATTTTCGGAGATCGGGTTTCAGGTAATTAATTGTTTACAATTCTATGTCAATATGATTAATTGTAATGATATAAATTGTTTTTACTTTTGTCTTCAAACAGGAACCGATGATGAAGCCGTGATTTTGAATGCATTTGCTCAATACGACGAGGGAGATGGTAAATGTAATGAAGATACGTAAGTGTTAATCAAATTAATCAATTAACTAATCACCATTTAAGTCAAAATGACAAAAGACCAAAGTGATATACGAAAGATAACTCAACAAATATCTTAATTGTAACAGTTACAATCTATATTATCGTCTAATTATCACTTGACTTAATTTCTTATTGTTGAACATTAATAATCAACAATAAACTTTTGTTTGTTAATTGTGATTTAATTTAGTTTGAAACACGCAATCACCACTTGGGGAGAGAAATTCACCGTTGATGAGGTTAGTTAATTGTTTGGAATAATTTTTCCAACTTAATTGTTGGTACTAATTGTTGATTTCTGTTCATCTTATCCAGTGGAATACTGCAATTGCCGAAGCTCCAATTGACGGCGGTGGAAAAATCGACATCAAAAAATGGGCTCGAATGATCACCGGAGCTGCTGAGGAAGAGGAACAAGCCTAAATTGTTGAAGAAGAAGAAGAAGAAAAATCAAAAAAAAAAGATTAAAATTTAATTGTAATCAATTGATTAAGAAAATCAAATTATACCTGTGTGTCCACCTTGGCTTATATATGAAATAAACAAATATAAATATAACAATTGATCATCTTTTACCCAATCAATGAATCAGCAATGATCATCATATGTGCATCTTGAAAATTTCAATCTCATTAATTGTTCCTGTTAATTGTTATTGTGAAAATTTATCTTCTTAAATTGTTGTTGTTAAAGATTGAAATAATTTCAATTTTCAATCTTTAACCTTTGTCAAATTAAGGTCACTGATTTTGATTAAATTGAGAATCTCCTACTCTCCAAATAATAAAACATGGTAATTACTAAACTAAACTTATTCACTATTAACTTGTAACAATCAACAATTTGTTAATCATCATTACAGTGCAGAAAAGTAGAAAATTTTTCACAACAATTAACAATTAACTCAGAGAAAAAGTGAATAATATTTACCTATTGGAGAGAGAGTTAAAGTTGTCTATCAATCTTGAATCTTCCGTTTACAATTAATTAACTATTAATCAGTGTAAAAGAAGCAATCAGAAACAAAAAGAAACGGAAGTCTAATCAATATATAGTAATAATTGTAATTGTAATTGTAATTGTCTCCATTTCCATTGATTGTCCTGTGGCAGGAAAAACCCAAAAATCATGCAGCCAAAAACAGCGTCATCATAAATCAAATCAACCTAAATGAATGAAAATAAATGTAACATGTTAGTTAAATTATAAGAACAGTTAAATTAAAACTGTTATAAAGACAAGAACAACAATTAAAGTTTAAAAAAAAAAGAGAAACAATCAAATATTTTTATCAATACATTTACCTATTCAACTATTGAAGTGATCATAATGTTTACATTGAAAGTGATTGTTTTTAATTTATTAATTGTTACTCTTTCATTCATCTTACCTGTTTGGAGTCATCTTGATTTACCTGAGGCTTGTGTTGCTCATCCTTACACCAAGAAATCAATTGATGAATGTGATGTGTCCGGTGATTACTGGTCAGTTATGGTTTACAATCAACGAGATGTTTTCACTTGTTGTAAAAATGAACGAGACGCTTCAATAGTTGCAGGTAACAACCAATTAGATTAATAATCAACCCCTGGAGTTTGTTTATCTTTTTGTTTTTGTTTTTTTCTCACAATTAAGTTAATTGATTTTAATTTTTTTTTTCTTCTATTCTTTTTTGTTTTATTTCTCTCTCAAGCTCCCACTGATCGAAGTCGTGGATTATATTATGGTGATGCTTATAAACTCTGTGAAACAATTTACGTTGATCAAGAGACTTGTCGATCTCGTGAGAGTCGTGATTGTAATTATCACACCGCAACCTATAAAAATCAATACATTGGCTGTTTCTTTTGTCGAGGTAAGTTAATCTCTTCGTTGATTTAGATATTTTTATGTTAATTCTGGTTCTTTAAGCTATTTAAATTGTCCCAAGATTAACCATTTTGTGGTTTTCTATTAGTTAAATGATTGGTTAAACTAAACGCTTTTTTGTTCAGGTGTATAGAAACTCCTTTATGTTGATATCTTGTTTTTTTTATTCTTTCTTTTTGATTTATTGTTATTCTATTCTATTATTATTTATTATCGTTTAATGACCGCTATTATTATTAGAATATTCAACTGATTCTCTCTCTCTCTCTCTTTGTTTGATTCTTTTGATTCTATCTGTAGATATGTTATTATGTTTTTCGTCTAATTTACTTTTGGTTTTTTTTCTGCTTCTCTTTTTTTAATTGTTTTCTTTTTCTTTTTCTGTGACAACAGCGAGATGTGAAAATGATTATCAATGTGGTGACTTAGGTCGAGTCTGTTCAATCTGTAGACCTGAACAACCAGCTACCGCTTGTACTGAGCCAGTTTTTGCCGATAGTGGACCGTTAAAGTTATATAATGGACAATCAAGTCAATCAGGATATCTTAATAATGATAAGGAATTAATCAACAACAACAATACCAATGGTAAAGGTGAAAAGACTGGAAATAAACAATTTGAAAACCAGCAACAATTGATTACTAATATTACTTTTGGTACTGGTGAAAGTAGGAGTAATAGTAATGGAAACAATAACAGTAATCAAACAACATCCGGTTGACCCTTGAAAATTTGATCATTAATTGTTACACACAAACATATTTATAGTATATAACGTGTGCCACTTCATATTTTATACTGACGAGTGGATAATACTGATGACAATTGATGATGATAATGGTGATCAAGGTGATGACAGTAGTGGTGATTACGAGACACTCTTAATATATATATGATTCAATTGACTGATTCACATAATAATTTCCCGTTTTCTTTTCGTATCTCGTATCCCGGTGTCCATATATAAGTGTGTCTATCTGTGTGTTTGTCTCTCCATCTCCCGAATTTACAATTTAACCACCTTTCGTTTACTTCATCTTCTTTTACCTTCTTCAATTATGTCACGCGTCTTCAACGTCCATCAACTTTTCCTGTTACACTAATTGACTCCTAACGGTTTTGTCTTCTTACTTATTTTCCACCCTCCTCATCATCACCATTATCCGGCTGGTTTATTTGGTCATCTAAACAACATCCAAATAATACATGTCCAGATAATTATGTAATCATCATCATGAAAATATCGAAACAGGTCCATATGGCTGTCGATTATCATCTTTATCTTCCACCCCCACCTCCACTTCCTATTTCCACCTTCAGAGTCTCTTCCTCTCCTTCTTACCTTTTCTCTGTCCTTGTCCTCATTAGTATTATTATTATTCATAATCTCTCTCTCTCTCTCTCTCTCTCTCTCTCTCTCTTCCTTCCGGGTTATTGATTTGACAAAAAATCCATTCCATTTTCATGTAACATTCCCATTACATATTATATATTATTCATTCCAAGTCATGGATATTATTTATTACCAATCATCAAGAATCTAATTAATCTTGATTCTCTGTGTCGTATCACTTTTTTTTAGTCAAATTGTTTATTGTAAAAGAGTTTAATTCTTGTTAATTGTTTTCGATTCCATGTGAATAAAATTTTAAGTATTACAATTTAAGACATAAATGAGAATCTGAGTAATAACTCAATTCGTTAATTGTTGACACTTTAACTTTTTTATTGGTCATTTTGTCTTGGACGGATTTCATAAGGGTCATCATAATAAGTACACTAAACTTATTACATCAATAGGGATTTATGATTAAAAGGATGATAAATGATGATGATGATGATGTGCAAATGATTATATTGATGATGATGATGATGATGATACATTAATTATGAAAGAAGAGCAAAGAAAATGATAAATTAATGGGAACGATAATTAGGAAGAATGATTTATATTAATTAAGAAAGTTACAGTTGATTAGTACGATATTGAACATGAATGACTTTCTCTAAATTGTTACAATTAGAAAGTGATGAAAGAGAAATGATTAATAAATTGTCCAGCTAATTGTTGAGCTAATTACAGATTATTTGATCAACTTTTTGTATTTTCTTTTACCGTTAATCTTTTCATTAAGATTATCAATTGAATATCCATTGGAGATGATGATATGTAATGTTAATTGTTTAGATTGTAATAAATAATTATAATTGATTAATGAAAATGGACGACCAATTATCTGAATGATTAAGGTTTCGTTGATGATGATGACCAATGGATGTGGCAATTAACTATTTACAAATTGTTACTATGGTTCACCTAATCATTTATTGTCCTTCCATCTGTATCCGGTGGATTAATTGTTAATTGTTACTGATTAAAGGATGGATAAAGATTCTGGTGAGAGAGAGAGAGAGACATAGATAATTAATTGATTTTCTAATAGTAATTAAGAAAGTCAATCAATTTCCAGCATCAAGTAAATTGTAAAGTTTTGAGTGTTTAAATTTTCCCATTGAAAACTTGACCCATGGACAAACATTATTATTAATGTTAAGAATTTAATTGTTCACAATTAAACTATTATCATTATGAGCATATTATGTAATCATGTTGATGTACGTGAGACATTGGCACGCGTTTTAAATTGTCGTGCGTAATCAGTGAAGCTTAAACTCTCGTTAATCATCAGGTTAATTGTTAATCACGTTCCTCCAAGTTTCCGAGGTTAATTGCAACACAAATTTAACCATCAAATGATTAAGATTAATCCAAACGTTGACATCAGGTAAATGGGCATCAGATTTGATTTGAAGGATAGCAAACAAATTAAAATGATTAAGACGATGATTATTATTTGTAAAGGTGTAAAAGTTGATCATTGGGAGATTAATGGTTAACAATTAAAAGTCAGTACACTGGTCAAGACCAGTAAATTGCTCAAGATCAAAGGAAACTGAATCAATTGTTGATTTACACTCAATCCAAGGCTGGATGATTAAATGATGTTGAGAATCAAATGTTTGATTTGAATATTTAACGTTAATTGTTGCTATTTCACTATTTGGTAATAAACTATTAGTCTCATTAACACCTAATCCAGTTGTGTCCGTTGTTAATGTTGTCGCTGATGTTGGTACAAGATCAATACAATTAGCTGATAATCCTTCATCAAGATGACCTCCGGTTGGTGAATCAATGAAAGTTGATCGATTGGATAAAACAATTGACGAATTAAGTAAATTGTGACCATGAGATGAACTGTTAATTGGATTTAGAGCAATCAGATCACTTTGAGATGAACCATTATTTTCATTGACTAGATGATTGGAACCATCGTTCCCATTGGCTGATGTAATGGTCACTCCATTGGTTGTAGTGGACATTGGAAAGCAAGACCAAGGTCCCCATTCAGAAATTGATAATTGATGAGCTGATGCTGATTGATTAACACAGGTAACAACATTATTAGTCGCTGAGATTATATCAGAAACTGGAAGATTGGTCAAACTATCTTGGGACATTTTATTGTGTTGGTCATCTTTTGATTGGTCATTTCTGGTGGATCTTTCATTTTGTTGATTTCGTTGGTTACTATTGTTACAATTATCCTCATCTCCTTGATTATTACTGTTATTATTGTTGTTGTTGGCTCCATTGTGATTATTGGTGGTGTTGATATTTGCATGATGATGATGATGATTATGAACTTGCTGATTACCATTGGTCACTTGATTGACCAAACTTAATGTATGAGGTTCAACTGCAGTTAATTGGGTTGTATTATTATTAGCATTATTATTATTATTATTACTATTGTGAGATACTTGGGTTACAAGTACAGTCTCACCAGTGACCGGTGTATGGACCACTTGACCAGCATAATTAGTTGGGTCAACCAATTCAAGATCAGCATCGGTAAGCAAAGCATTCCAGCAAATATCATGATTTTCATTGGTCAACAAATGACCATCGTTAATTTGATCATTACCGTTGCTATTTGAATGTCCAGTGAAACCATTTTCATTTACTTTAATTATATCATGATGATGATGAGAATGAGTATGAAGATGATTATGATGATGATCATCTGAACCAATTCCATTTCCACCAGAATTTAATTGTGATGTTGAACTTAGACTAACAATTGGTATAATTGTCGTGGTTCCATCAGATGTACCACCTAAACTATTGGCACTATCCGATCGACTTGGATCTTCATTGATTAAAATTGTTTGCTGATCATGTTCACCAGTTAATACAGAATCAGTTAGAGTAATTGTATATCGAGCAAATGAATTGTGACAATCAATATCACCTTCGATACTTTTAATTGCATTAACCAATTCACCACTTTCTTTACACTGAAAGGAAGCAAAAGAAAATAAAAACAACAACAACAACAATTAAAACCTCAAAATGATTATATTGAAGGTGAGAAAATTATTCACCAATTGATTGGTGATAATTGAATTCTAATTGTATCAGATGATTACCTTTTTCTTATAGGATGATGTTGACTTTGAATTGGATCGTTGGGAGGGTCGGCGTTTCTTGAAAACGCCATCGATCAAGGTCTCAGCGAAAACGGGATCCAATCTCCAGAATCCCCCCTTACCTGGTTCATCCTTAGTTCGAGGGATTTTGATGAAGCATTTGTTCAGGGATAAATTGTGTCGAATTGAATTCTAAAGGAAAGGTAAGTTGGAGGAAAAGAAAGAGAAGAAAATATTGATTTAGAAAGAGATGATGATGATGATGACAAAGAAAGAGAAAACTTTTTCTTCTCTCTTTAGGACAAATGATCATGCGATTAGAACTTTTTTCTATGCGCATCACAAGTCATCCGTTAAAATGGCCCAGCCTCCGATCTCATCACCGGTTTAGCTTCACTGAATTGATAATCGACTCGATGATGATGACAAATATTATATTTCCTTCATCATCATCATCATCTTCCAATTTGATGAAGAGCATTTTCAAGAGGATGCAGACTAATCTGAATATAATGTTAATTTTCACGATAATCAATTGATCACTTTAAACACAAATTATCATCAGATTGTTTGATTAACTTGAAATTTAAATAATATCATCATTGTGATAACAATTAAATTGCTATATTTGAAAACAATAGATTATATATTAATTGTTCAATATCTTGTGGTCATCATCAACATCGTCATCATGATAATAATAATCAAAAGTGATTACAATATAATATCATTATCAATCTAATTAGATATTGAATTAATTTTTTCTCATACTATTATTATTGTTATTGATATGAAACTCACTAATTACTATTAATTAGTTAAATTAAATAGGGTAACAGGTAAGAGAGAGAGAGAGAGAGAGAGAGATAAAATGTACATTAACAACAAGGAGAAACTAATTAAATGGTCAAGTTAATTGATAATCGATGATAACTATTTAGACTTGGATAAAGTTTCACTGTGAAGATGGAGACTTGATAATCTGGTTTAATAAAACTGACCACTCGCTTTGTCTTTCTGTCTAAATTACTGTCTTTTTTCAAGCCAACTGATTAGGTCATTAACCATTGATAAAGATTAACAATGAAAACAAAAAAGAGTTGTAATTGGTACAATTTTGTGAGATGATTAATAAACAATCGTTTAAATTGTCACTTACTTGCCAACTTGGATCAGCGTTACGATAGTAGAGGAAATTTTCACGAATCCATCGGTAAATGGCACTTAAGGTCATCTTGTTTTTATTGGCCTTCATCGCCATACAGATCAGGGTCGCATATGAATACGGAGGTTTGACCGACCCGTTGGATTTATAATTAGCGATGTCCTCAAGTGAATAGGTTTGAGCTTTTTTTGACGTGGAGGTTGAATTGGTGTTGGAAGATGATGATGATCGGCATCGTTGATTACCTGATCCGTTTTGATGACCATTTGAAATGTTAGAGACATTAAAATGACCATTGGCCGTTGGTGTTGATTTGGAGCAGCAAATTAATTCCTTGTTGGTATTGAATAGACCAGAATTTAATAGATTTGAATTGGTTGTTGAACATGATAAATTGTTGATGGAAGATGTGTCACCATTGGCTATTGATTGGTTAAGATGATGAGAAGATGATGATGAGGATGAAGGGGGTGAAGATGAGGATGAGGAAGATGATGAAGATGATGTACAATTATTATTATTATTATTGGAAGGGTATCTTTGATTGTTTTGATTACCATGATGATGATGGTGATGATGATGAGGATGCTGAGGATTGTGTGGTGAATTATAATTTAGTAAAGATGATGAGGTTGAATTATGATTTAACATTGATTTACATGATGATGAATTTGTTGCTGACCAAACTGGACTTGCTGGTGGTGTGGGTGGTGTTGGTGCACCTAAACGGGTCATACACATATTCAGATTCTGTAACCAACTTAAACTGGTCAAACCATCGTCAACATTTGGTGATGAGACGTTGAAATTTGCATGACGATGATGATGATGATGATGATGATGACGGAGGTGAGAGTGGGGGGAATAAGGTTGTTGTTGTTGTTGTTGTTGGATGATTGTTGGTATGAATTAGTTGATTGGTTGACTGGAAGGATTGGTAAAGTTGTCGCGGTGATTGACATACTGGTCACTGTTGATCGAGAGGGGGACGAGCATGATGAGGATGAGGATGAGGATGAAAATGATCCTGGTGATGAAGATGATGATTGTTGGGGCAATGGTGGAGGTGGTGGTGGTGGAGGAAGAAGAACTGTTTCATTTAAATTGTTGTTAATTTGTTCGGGTGAAGATGGAGGAAGATTTTTCGTTGAATTAGATGTTGATGTTAATCCTGATTCATTTGGAGACGATTGATTGTAATCAATTGATTGTTGTTGTTGTTGTTGATCAATTGGTGATATTATTGTTTCCATGTTTATTTTACTTTCAATGGTTGCATGACTTTCTTGCTGTTGTTGATGATGATACTGATTGTGATGATTAATCTGATGATGATGATGATGATTGTTATTATTATTGTCAACATCATCCTCTTCTTTGACACTTTCATTAACGACATTAACTGTAACCGCATCATTAATGGGTGAATTGTTTGAACAATTTGGTATCATTGTTGGTGATTTAATCATTTGAAATTAACTCACTGTGATTGTTACGATTCTGATGATGATTATTGACTTGGAGGAGACACTCAATTGATTGCGATGTAATTTAGTAAATTGTTGAGGTTTAATTGTAACATAATCTGTTAATCATTAACTTCCATTGATCTCTGATTAACAAGATAAACAGATAATAATGATAATCAGAGGACTAATTGTGGTAAATTTCATTCACTTGATTAAATTGTTACACAATTTTGTTTTTCTTACTCTTCGAGATTAAATCAATCAATTAGATGGCACAAATTTGAAGATTAAATTTTAAACTGTCAGTTAATTGTGATGATGGAAACACAATTGGAAGATGTGAAAAACTGTAGTTAAAAGATGAATTAGTAATTAAATGAATGAATTAAATGGTAAATTAAAGTTGATTATTGATCGAAAATGAGAAACTGATTAACTGATGAGGAGAAAGAAAAACAAAAGGAAAACAATTATTAGGAGATTAACAATGTTGGCGATTTAAGTTTAGATTTGTTTTCTAATTATATTAGTTGATTGTCAGTTAATCCAGTAGTTAACGATTAGAAGGTTGTATTAGTGAAACTATAGAAGAAGATGAAAGTAGTTAAAATAGACAGAAGATTAGAAATAGACAGAGGAAAAAGAAAGAGAATTGGACTAAAGGTGAGAAATGATAATTTTCGCAATTTGGTGAATGCGTAGTTACCTTTATGAAAATGGCGTTAGAAATATGAAAGAAACAAAAGAAAGATGGAGGATAGAAGTGGAGAGAGAGAGAGAGAGAGAGAGAGAGAGACTGATGATGATGATGAAAGTCAATGGAAGCATAAAGGTAAAGGTAATACTCTAATCATGATATAATAATGATGACGATTAAGTCTCGATGATGATGATGGGAACCAATAAAATAATGGGAGGAACGATTACCGAGAATCGAGAGGAGAAAGAAAGATAAATAGAAAGAGAAGATGAAGGATGACAAAGATGATGATGAAGATGGTGGTACATGGATTGCTGGTGGTGGTGGTGGTGTGGTGGTGGTTGGGAGGAAAAAGAAAGTGAGTAATATAACTGTTACTCTCTCTCTCTCTCTCTCTTTCTCTCTGTCTTCAGGTTATGATGGAAAAGGGGTTAGGGTGGGAAATAAAGGTGGGAGTGAGAGTCACAGGGAGGCAAATGGAGGAGGAAAATGAATGAATTAGAGTGGGAGAGAGATTGAGGTAGATTCATTTTTCGACAAAAAAAAAAGGTAATGGAGCAGCTGCTTTATTCTCGACTATTTTTCTCTCTCATTTTTTGTCATCATTATTTTCTTCTTCTTCAGGTAGAATATTGTTATTATTATGATTGTCATCAAATCGAACTCACTGTTTGGGGACACACTCCGTAATGATGGAAATGATGATGATGATGATGATGAATGATGGAAGATGATTAAATCCGTTTCTCTTTTTTATTCGTATCACAATCAATAAGATATACGAGTTTATGTTTATTAGAAAAGTTTTTTTTTCTTTCTCCTTTCATGTTATTGTTTTGATGGTCAATGAATCTTTTGTTAGGAGTAAATTGTTGTTCCATCATCTTTATCCTCATCTTTTTTTGCTCCTCCTCTTTTTTACCTATATCAGGATGGGGATGATGTTGATTCTTGTGTTTTGTATTATAGGATTTTAACAATCAAATTTGTAATCGATAAGGTGAATGTGAAAGATGATGATGATGATTAGGATGAATGGAAGAGTAAAATCAATGTTGATCAGGAAAAGAAATCAAATTTATAGGTATTATTATTATTCGCGATTCTTTTTGTTATATTTACTGTTATTCTTGGTGTTTATTGTTGATTTGGTTGTTTGGTGTTTATGATTAAACTGACAATTGTTTACATTGGTCAGAGAAAATGAAATTTGGTTCTTATTGTTTATCCAACTTTTTTTGTTACCTTTAACTGTTATTATTTAGTTTCACTGGACATTTACCTTTCCCATAGGATGACCATGAAAACTATCAAGTGATGGTAATAGGAAGATACCTATATGATAGAGGAAGATGATGATGATGATGATGATGTTGGTTGATGATGTGATGGCGAAAATGGGTGTGATTATTTGGGGGAATTTGGATGATCCAATAAATTTCTTATTCTTTTGTGACTCCTCCTTTTGTATTCTGATTGAATATGAATAGATGATGATGAAAAGGATGAGAAGTTCCCAATGAATTTATTGAAAGAGAAGAAAATTATTTGGAAAAAAAAATGATTCGAATTTTTTTTTCTTCTTTTCGTCATCGAATTTTTTTCGACAATTGTTTGATCGATAATGATGATGATATTAAATTGGAATGGAAATGGCAATGTAACTGTTAATGTTTTTTGCTTCTTTTCTAGGAATTGTAAATAAATCATTACAATTTGTAGAAAACTTTCTCTCTCTTGAGCAATCGAATTGAACTTATTCCATACAACTTTGAATTCGCAAAAATTTCTTGGTAAATATTCACATTTTACTCGGAATTCAAGGATAATTATCACTCAGTTCTTCAAGAAAATGTTAAATTGTAACTGTCTGAAAATCAGAAATCAAGCAATAACGTTTACTTTTAATCGTCCAGTCGATTTAGTCCTTAATCATTTGCTTGATTGTTTAAAATTTTTTGATTCGTTTGATATCTGATGTTAGGTTCTGACAATCGGATCCATTTAGTTGTGAAGAAAGTGATTCTAAATCCATTCGAATTAATATACAAAAAAACATTAACAATTCTAAAGTTATCTGATCTTAAATAAAATAATGCTTCGAATTGAATAAAGAAAAATAAAAGTAATTTTCCTTTTGGTTACATTTACATTCCATAGATGGAGACACTTGATTATCTTTCGAAATATTAACCGAATTTCAATGTGTGTTCGCAGTCCGGGTAACCATGGAAACGTCGGTTATTCTTCTATTCACATTTGTTTTCGCTTTTCTTTTGATCCTAACTAATTAAAATTAATTAAATTAATGAAATTAATTAACTAATTAATCAATAATAATTTAAATTAATAAGTTGTTCATCAGTCTGTTCTAATTGACAATCTATACTCTGTGCATCCTTAGGAGGAAAATGTCTACAATTAGTATGCCTGTGCCCTCGCCTTCTATTGTTCCTGCTGACACGATAATTGTTAGGATATGGGATAATCAATCCAACAAATTAATGGACGGCTTTCAGGTTAAAAGAATGGTGTTCACAGTTTTGAAAATCTTTGCCGATAAAATTGAGGTCCTAAGGGGCTTCACCTGTGCACGTATCTATGCTGATGGACGCTTGTTGGATGACATATTTATTGTTCTCAAACGAAATACAAATTGGTCTGTTGATCGCCCTGAAAAGAAACTGCCCAAAATCAAGCTTCTAATTCCTAGTTTTCTAAAGATCAACAATATGAATCCAATTGCCAAAATTAAACAGGACAACCCATGGATCGGCAATGAAATCAGGCTTGATATGATATTTCATAGCAACAAAAATAAAGTAGCTATACTTACCGTTGACAATCAAACTAGAGAAGCTCTTAGACACAAATCACTTAACATTGATGGCACCATCATTACCTTCTTTGATCACTTCCAGATCAAGTTCTGTGAAAGATGTTCATCGTATGGTCATAGATGGTTCAATTGCCGCAATAAAACCAAATGTCTTAACTGTTCCCTCAGGCACTTTCACGAGATCTGTAAAGTTAAAAATGATTCGCTTTTATGGCGATGTGCGAGTTGTAATTCTTACGGCCATACAGCCTTATCCTTTTACTGTAGAGAATTTCAACGAAGGTTAATTGATCAACTACGCCAAATAAGCTATGAATACAAAGAAATTATGATTGAATCCAGACAACTTCGATAGTGGAAAAACTATAAAAAGAATAAACTGAATTGACAAACTCATACTTAAAAAACTTCTCTCTAAAAGTTCACTTCTCACCTTACCCTATTTTACCTTCTCACTGTGAGCTGTAGACTAAACTTGATTTATGTAAACCTTCACCTGCTAACTCTCAATCTATTGTTAACAATCATTGTCAGTTCAAGCTACATTTGTATCTAAACTCAAATCCCCATCTTATCCTCACATTAAAAACTCATCCTTAAAGTGAAACACTATTTCATCTCATTCATCTCATACATTTTCCATCTCTCTATTTCCAACACCAACGTCATCTGACGTTCGTTTTGATAATATTTTCTAATATTCTTCATCACTACACTTCTCTGCCGTACTACAAGACATTTGTTCAGCAACAACATGCCACCAGCCAAGAAAAAAGCTATGAAACCAATGGTTCATGAAAACAGCGACTCCGAGTTTGAATCTGATGTTGAATCGATACTCAAGTTTCTTGACGAAGCAAAAACTTGCCTAGATGGTAAGACTCTTAAAGATTATGTATTAGAAAATCTCTCTGAGGACGACCAAATTTCATTTCAACTTGTTTTAGAGAATGTTATCACCCATCCAAGACAAGGAGATATTGACATGATGAAACTAATTCTTGGTGAAAGACTCAAAAGGAAAAATAGTACAAGAATCTATAATTCAAACGCTGCGACCAAGTCTGATGAAACGAATGTCAGATATGACAAGATTTGGAAAAAACCTGAAAACTGGATATCGGTTGAGCATCTTGAGATAAATCCAGTGTTGCTTGTACAATCCAAGATTGACAACAGAGAAGAATCTGGATATACCACCAAAATCCATCTACAAAAAATTTTCGATAACTCTGAAGAATACATGATGGATGTTATCAATCTTGAAGCTGGTAAGAAATTCTGCAAAGTTTCCCTATACAATACGAAAGCAAGAGAAGAATTAATAAAAAGACTTGACAATAATAACGATGTGGTCTCTTACACAACCACCATACCAACTCTTGATGAGCCCAAAATCATTATTGAAATGATTAATCAGCATATGGATTATCAGGAAAGTGACTGGAAAAATTGGGTTAACAAACTCAAGCGCTGGAATGGCTGGAAAGATGAATCCAAAGTAACCTTAATCAAAGCTGAGCTCAAAGGCAATTGGATAAAGCTAATTATTGAGATTGACTCCAGAATTCGCTCCTCATTGGATAGTGATAGAAGCAGAGGTCAGGTTAGTGTTGGTTGGAAACGAGTGTCCATTGTTGATCACATCGGTATCACTCTCTGTTTCAACTGCAATCGTTATGGCCACAAATCCTCTAGCTGCATTTTCACTGTAGTCTGTGGATACTGTGCGTTACCACACTCGACTCGTGGATGCAATAAGAAAGGTGACACATCTCTTCACAAATGCTCTCCCTGCAACATGAAACAGGGACACTCAACCTTTGACTATAGATGCCCGACCTTCATTAAACAGGTACGATTAGCCCTTTCTAGAATAAATCATATGTACTCGTATATCATTGTGAAGAATAATGAAGACTCAATTTTACCGCCAGACATTTGACTCAAAAACTAGAATGTAACACCACCAGTATCGCCACTGTATCTTAACTGACACCTTAGCTACTAACCTTTTTCTGTATGTTTTTTACTTAAAACACAATTAAAAGCTAATTAATTAATATTCAACTGTGAATTACTTTTTTGTTGTTCTTCGCTACGATCAACACACAAACAAAGGTTAAAAAAGATATGGCCCTAACCAGACTTTTCACCGAATACA